GTGCCAAGAATTGTAACAGTTTTCGGCCTACGCTAATATTCGTCACTCCAAGATTGGGACACTCGCCCGCTGTACTCTAAGCGCCGCGGCTAAACTCGCACACAACCGAAGTTCATGTTTTTATCACAGGGTCAGGAGCCACCATGATCTGCTCCACAAGAGCATTCTGGCAACCAAAACTGAGTAAGTACCGATCTCTCTCCAGCCCTGAACGCCAAGCATGCTTTCATGATGAGACAAAAAAAACCCATACATTTCTTTAGGAAGAGCCGGAAAAGGCATGGCAGCATCATCTGATGCTTGCCGTCGATGCTTAGGAACGGGTCTCTGATACACTCCGCTTGTCAGACACGTCATTATCCATCGAGGACTCTGGAGCGGAATGCTGACTGCTGTGCGAGAAGTAGATCCCCCGCCCTGGCTGCGGCGTGGTCAGCTTGGGATCTGCCAACTCGCCGCGCTGTCAATCATCGGAGTTCTTCAAGGTGGTTGTAGATACGGGGATAATGGGTGGCATGCAGATGAAACATATCTGTGTACAGCTATGGTGTGAGTGTTCGCACACTAATTGGGTCGCCAGATTTTGTGCATGAAGGATTCTTGAGGCTGGGCGTTATGAACTGAATCAGAAACAACCTCTGCATAATGATGCCAGGGCGCAGTCGAGGGGGCTTGGGTAGATTGGCAGCTGGTAGGATTTAATAATTTAGTGCATCTTGTTCTCTGAAGGTCCTCTACCTCTGCACTTTTGCGTCATTAATTAATTACACATATTTCGGTTGATAATGTTTATCTCTGCATGGATCTTGCCCCTTGTGATGTCTCTGTTGCCTCAGGCTCAAATGCTTTCCTCGGGCAATAGTTCTGGCAATAGAGAGTTTGGTGGTCCCATCGGTTGCTCGGTTTGTTAGAGAAGAATCTTTGGGACTCTCCTGCTGCTAAATTTTAGTCAGGGTACTAGATTCACCTCTGCAACGCTTGACGGACAATTGTAAGCGTGCTAAGTTCAAGCGTTGTTTGTCAACGTGGTCGCTCATGAAATCTAGCATCGTTCAAGGTATCATCTATCAACAGCCATTAACAAATGAAGACCTCGGGAGTCCCAGCGAGAATATCGCGAGTGCGCCGGTCGGTTATCCGATCCCTACACTTTCCGACTCCTCGACGTGTGCGCAAGATGTCGCAAACCTTTTGGCTTTAAACACGAATCTGATACGAAGTTACGCGATCGATCCAGCACAAGAACGCTCGCAATGCATGGCCTCACTTGCTGAGGCTAACATATATGTCTTAGTCGATCTCACCGCACCGGGGTATACCATAGATGGCCGTAATCCCCAATGGAATGAAGGACTCTATAACCGCTACACAGCAGTCATCGACGCCATGCAGGAATTCAATAACACTTTCGGATTTCTTGTTGGCGACGACATTGCCGGCTCCCCACATGAAATCAGCGCTTTCATTAGAGCTGCTGTGCGTGACATGAAAGACTATATTGCCAGCAAGGGTTATAGAAACATTCCTGTAGGATATGCTGCCAGCGATAATGGCAGTAGCCTTGGAATCGCCCAGTATCTGGCTTGTGGTGACCCGAGCACAGCTGTCGATTTTCTAGGCATCAACAATCGTGAATGGTGCAAGTTTGACGATTACGATACGTCAGGCTATTCAGCCATGACATCTGCCTATTCTAGATACCCTGTGCCAACCTTTCTTGCTGCGTACGGCTGCCTCTCATCGGAGTCTGGTCTGACTGAGGATTTCTCTGAGATTGCTTATATCTACGATAGCAACATGACCACGATCATGTCTGGTGGCTTGTTCTACGGCTTCTTCTCAACGAATGAGTCGGCTCGATATGGTAAGCCACGACTCTAGAGAGTTTGCAAACTGGGTATACTGATGGAAGTCCAGGGTTGATCACTACAGATGGTCACAAAAACCTCAACGCAAGCAACAGCAGTTGGTTCGATTCATATGAATACTCGATGGCTAGAGTCCCTTCCACGCCCTTTGGTTCCTCTCACTTTAGTCCTTTCCCTACTAGCTGCCCGGCAGATGCTGTGACTAGTCTCCCTCCAAATCCCGTTCTCCCTCCAGACCCTGTACGGGCTGCATCAAATACCACGTCCCCGCGCGACCCACAAAAGCCCGGCAGTCCTCCACATTCATCACATCTCTCGCATGCTATCATAGCCGGCATTGCTGTTGGCTGCATTCTCGGCACGTCTTTTCTGGTGATGAGTTCTTGCCTTGTCATTTATAGAAAGAGAAGACGGACCGCACATGCAGAGGCCTGGAGCAAAGCAGAGCTCCCAGCGAACGGCGTGGACAAGGAGGCAAGGGGCTTGGGGCCGCACATGCTTGATGGGACGGCAATTGCAGAAGTTGAGGGTACCCAGCGAATGCTGGAAGTCGAGGGGAGGAGTACGGCCCTCGAAATGGAGGGCGGAAGCACTGAAATCTTCGAGGCGCCGGCCGATCTGTCAGCCTTGCCCGAACTCATGGCAACAGAGTAGTAGAAGAGAGGCCCGAATGAGTGCTTTCTCTTGAAACAATGAATCCATCTTGCATCCTGTCAATTGGAACGGCAGTGCTAGGAGAATCATGAACGGCTCATTTCGAACGGGCAAACGACCTTAGTCTTTGTACGAATACCTACTCAGGAGTTTGTTGTCTAATCAAATTTCTAATGTAAATCGCGACCTTGGGACTCAGCTCGCTTGTTCGAACGACCAATTTAATGCTGTTGATGCACCTTGCCCCACTTCGACTCAAGGAGTCGCAACCTTCGAAATGGCACACTGTGCATGCAGGAAGGTTTAGCCTTCCGTGTCGCCAGTTTGCAATCCGTCCGATCTGTTGACTGGTCGCAGGACCCCTTTTCCGTGCATATGCCCTGGGCTCGCAGGGTTCCATAGGGATTCCCGCACCTTGCAGCGCACCTGCAGGACGCATGCAAGATTTCCCTCTGACGGGCAACCAATGCCACTCGAATTCTTCCTCAAGCTCTGGAGGGGAACAGGTTCATCGCTGTCGCGATCGCAGGTACGGTACTACAGCTTGCGGACCGCCTTTTGATCATCCTTTGCTGGAACCCGAGTAACTGCCCACCTTCGTGCAGGGTAGGTTCCAATGGCTGTTGATCAGGGGTGGAACAATTGTTTCCTAGAAGCTACTACATACCTCATCCCGCGTATCTACCTACTCGTACTATCCAGAATTGAGCTACCTCGCTTAATAGCGCCGGGAGAGTTGACCAATCAAACTACTTAGTTCACCGCGAAAATCGTAGTTTGATTGGTCAACTCTCCCGGCGCTATTAAGCGAGGTAGCTCACTTCTGGATAGTACGAGTACTGCTTACTCGACGCCTGCGCCGCGTATTGTTTCCATCTCTACGGAGTCCCCCATCAGGCCACCTCCTCTGCCCTCCGTTTCCCTGTCAGAAAATCACGCGGCTCTCAACCGTCCTCTTCAGCACCTTCCTCGTTCCCTCATCAGTCCAAATCCAGCCTTACCAATACAAATGCTGGTGCGGCATCGTCAGTCACCGCGTCCTATTCCGCAGCCTTCTTGCCATGCGCCATAAACTTCACCCCCCCCCCCCAACTAATCTCCCAGTGGACCGGTTGCACATCCTCTGCCCTCCAGAACGGCAACTGCACCCCCACCTCAGCCTCCACATCCGTGCAGCTCGAATCGGCTCATCAGGTATCCGCACCAGCCCAGCATTCAACTGCGCAACAGGCTCCCACCAGCGCGCCAGCTGCCCTGAAGCAGCATCCCTGCAGTCCGCAGCCTGTGTTTCGAGCACGCTCGGCGTCGATGTGCACCCTTCACAGGCGGAGATTCCATGTGTCTCTGGAAACGAGAGAGGGTGTCGCTGTCCCGAAAGCTGGAAGAGCTGTTCCGCGCGCAACTCCTCCGGCTTTGGCCCAGAGTCCCCCTGGATGGTGTCCCATTGGAGAGCACAACGTCGTCTTGTCCTGCTCCATTGCGACACAATCAATGTGCTGGCCCGTAAGTGTGATAAACACGTGCATAAGCTGCTCACGTCGCGTTATGACTCGAGGTTTCGATCTGAACATGTCGAACATTGAATTGTTGAGTCATATCACGTTGTGGCTTCGTTTCCCATCAAATGAGCTCCGATGGTCGAGTTGGCTGGGTAAAGCCAATCACCAGAATAGCGTGGCTGTGCGCCGAAGAATGGCTGTTTAACTTTCAGAACGTTTCGACTTCTGTTTCCCTGTCTTGCGTTTTGCGGTGGAGCGTGTTGATTCAGGGGCGCGACGCTGTGTGTGTCGGGGGGATGAGTTTTGCTGTTTATGAGATGCTGGGATTGGGTTCGTAGGGGCAGGGGTAAGATTAGGGGTGCTCGTTTGCCGTTGCCCCTTTTCCTCATTCCCTTTTTCTGTGTCTAAACACGCGAACCTTGGGGTCGGTTGTGGTCTCCTCGAATTGTTCAAATCTCTATTGGGACTCCTTGCTAAGTTTCTTTCACCTTGGTTATGGATGATGGGGGATCTGCTCCATTGTGATAATGATGTCCACAACGAACAGTTGTGCTGACGGATTCATGGTTCAGACCTCTGATTCCTAGCGCCAATTCCGGCCGTTTGATTCGCTTCTTGAGTTTTGAAGAAAAGCAAGCGCCTCGAAGACGAAGAAATTAGATAACGGCATAACATCGGCAAGCATCTGAAGCTACAATGGGCATTTCAGCTTTCTTGTCTAGACGTCGCAGAAAGGGATCCACATTTATTCTGTACATTTGTACTCATTTTCCCTCGGCGTTGTTGCGGATTTTCGGTGTCAAGGTACCGGGGACTTCATGGAATAGGCCATCCTGCTTTGGTAAATGAAGAGTAATATTGGATTCGGACAGAAGTCACCGGAAGATCAACACGGAAAAAGGCTTGTGAACTTCGAGAAATTGGTAGTCTCTACTCGTACACCCTCGCCTATCCACCAACATGCGTAACTCATTTCGTGCTATAAAGACGCAAATATGCAGGATACAGCCAAGATTGCACCAAAGAGGGTTCCGCGGCCTTGCGACCCCTTGTTGGCACCACTCTTCGCACTCGATGCAGTCGCCGTCGGAGAAGTCGTTCCCGTATTCGCTCCCGACGAGGCGCTGCTCGTCTTGGCCGCCGTGCTTGAACCACTCGGTGAGCCACTCGCAGCAGGCGCAGCCGTTGCAGCCGCTCCTGCACTGCTCACTCCTGCACTGCTCAATACTCCTGCATCCACAAGCTTCGTGCACGCTCCCACCACCGTCGCCGAATAGGCACTGAGTTCACTAGTTGGATAACCCGTCTGGCTCGCCATGGCAGCATAGCATGTCGTTGCTGCATCATCCCACGCAGTCCCATTGTAGCTCCCATTCTCGTTGAAGCAGAAGCAGCTCGCTTGAGCCGTGTTTGGAAGTGTCGTGAATCCCGGTGTGGCTGACTGACAATAGTTGACAAAATCGGCAATGGAGGTACATTCTGCGACGCCAGGGTCCTGAGCTTCAGAGTCCGAGTCGGAGCCCGAGTCGGAGCCAGAGCTGGGTTCGGAGCTGCTGGGCGTGGCGGATGATGATTGAAAGCACGATGAGGGGTTCGACGAAGCACAGCAGTTGTTGGGGTCTGCGCAACCTGTTTTACACCAATTGGTTACGCAATCGGTTGCCGCTGGGAAGCCGCCGGGGCAGGCGGTGAGGATGAAGTTGCAGAGGTTTTGTTCACCATCGATGGCGATTGCGGGGCCAGAGTCATCGCAGTTGGCGCCAAAGGGGTCGCTAGGGTCGCAATCTTGGGCGGCAACGTGGCTGAGAGGAGAAATTAGGAAGAGAATGTGGAGCGAACGCATGGTTGATGGTGAGTCGAATGCTTGTTTTGGAGTGATTGAAAGAGCGGAGGAGGGCGAGGTAGAAGGGTACGCGGGCAATTGCTTTGGAAGGAAGGAAAGAAAGAAAGAAAGAAAGAGTGCAATTGCTGCTGCTGGTGCTGCCTCCAAATATGTAGCCTTCGGATCCCACAGCGCCGAGCGAGGCTCCACAGAAAGTATAGCATTTCAACCACGCACTTGCAAGGGAATCGCATGTTCCAGTCTTCCAGAGCGCGCGATGCAGGTAAAGCTGAGACGCGATGCTGAACTTTCCTTAGCGACTCGCCTTTCTTCTCCCAAAGAAGCCTGGCTTACCTTCTCGGCCCCTCAAGCGGACAAGTCTTGGCGCTGGACGGGCTGGCGACGTTGACCCATGTTTGTACCGGGCCAAAAACCTACAGCCAGGCTCAGTGCGGGTGTTGAGGGTGTGGGTACTCGTAGTTTTCAGCTTGGGTTCTCTGGGGACAACTGGAGTCGAGGCTTCGGACACGCTTTGCTGGGTGGGCAACCCCAGATACACAGCTCTCGGCCGAGCCGATGCTATCCAGGACGCTGAGCTGAGCCATTTTTCTTTGAGGACCTTCGAGACCCTTCGAGTCGCTGTAACATGCTGGCACAAGGTTCGGACGTATATAGCGAGGAGGTAACCCGATGATCTGAAATGAGCTTCTGCTAGAAGGGAAGCTCAAGGGGCGAAGCACGAAAAATGGACTTGACTGGACAAGGACGTAGGCTTGTAGTCAATGAACACGCAAAGAAACCAAGAGCAAGCAGACAGAAGGCGAAGAGACACAAATCGAAGAGTAGCGGCTTAATCAGGCTGAGCGATCTGTTACCTGGGGTTATGAGAGTCGCAGGACAACCAAGGCTTGCGAATTGTCAGAACATCCGTAACATCAATCTTCGAGTAGAAAGATGGTATACATGCGGAGTATCATATTCGAAGCACCAAAGGACATTGGGGATGGTGGGGACGCCGACTCCAATGCTTCAGTTGCCAAGATATACGAAATATGCCCCGACCTTATCCCTCATCAGGTCTAGGATGACCGTCGCCCTATTATCACATACTTTACAGTCGGTAGGGGGTTTATATATAGAAATAGACTATAGATTCTTAATAAATATTGTATACTACTTAGCTATATATATCGCTACAATAGAAAAAGGCTATACTTAGTACTCAGCTCTATGGCTAATACTTAGTACCTATATATACTCAGGATACTCAGAGGGTGAATATACCCCTGATTGCATAATCCTTGAGAAAGAAAAAAAAATTCCCACAGTTCTGGCACACCCCAAAATCAAAAATCAAAAATTTCAATTTTTCTATATAGGTTCACAACCACAATTAATTATGATCTAAAAAATTATCAAAATTTAATAAATAGAGTGTAGATTAGATTATAAAATTCTTAAAAGATTTAAATTATTCGTTATATTGTAAAATAGAATAATCGCGAATTTTACGAAGTATTCTTGACAGCTTTAGAATAGCCGAGGTAAAAAAAAAAAACCTTGGCATGATTTTTCAGCGCACCCTCGACAATGTCAAATCAATATTTTATTATCTTACTTACGTTGTATAAATTAAATTTTTTAGATACTTTAATAATAAATACTTGGGTGTATAAAGTATATATTTTATAATTCTTAGACTATAATTAATTGTGGTTGTGAATCTATATAAGAATAATTGAGATTTTGATTTTTGATTTTGGGGTGTGCCAGAACTGTGGGAATTTTTTTTTCTTTCTCAAGGATTATGCAATCAGGGGTATATCGGCCCAAAAAATAAGGCTTGGCAGGGTTTGGCCTTTCTGAGACCATTTATTTATCTCCTCCATCATTATCCCACTCATAGAGTAGCCTTCCAATCTTCTTCTAAATAATCTATCCAATCAGCTCCATGCCTCTCTACCCACCCATACCCTACTCCGAACCCAACGAACCCCTCCCTCCAATCGATGTCTCCTCCACCGACGCCAACCGCAGCTCCTTCCTCACTACAGACTACGACTCCACCATTCCCCTCATCCGCGCCCGCTTCCCCAACATCGACCCCCTCTACTTCACCAAAATCTTCCGCGGCACCATCCACCCCGAAGGCCTAATCTGGCTCGACGTCGACCGCCAAGACGCATCGCCCCCCAACTTCTCCGACCTCGCGCACCTGCTCTACTGCTTCGAGATCTACGGCCAGATCCTGTGCATCCTGGCGGATCCGCGGGGAGGGCTGAAGGAGATAGAGTTGCAGAGGGCGCTGTCGGAGTACCGCGTCCGGGTGCTGAAGTTGAGCAAGGTGGCGAGCTTCGAGAGCTTGAGGGACTGGCACAAGGCGTATCTGGGGGCGCAGATTAGGGATGGGCAGGACAGGGTGGAGGGGTGGAGGGAGAGGAGGGAGGGGTTGGGGGCGTTGTTGAAGAAGAAGGTGGCGCCGGTGGAAGGGGAGAGTGGTGCTGGTGGGCATTATGCGACTCATTAGAGCGTTCACGACATATGGTGGAATTGCTCAAAGGCGCCAAACTACTTCTCTTTTCGATGGAATACCTTATCTCATGACCGATACGTCTAGTACCTGCTATGAAGTCCTTCTTTTCCGCAACTTCTGTCCCAGACATGTTCTCCCAGTTGCCTTCTTTGGGACGTTATCGGCGTTCGTATCATACGACATCCATTTTCCTTCCTTAGATACCATACAGCAGAATCTAAGAAGTCGGTCTTTCGAATGCCAAGACGCGTGAGCCCGGATAGCGCACATCGGAGCACCAAGGCCCGTTCAACAGGTCTGATGCTATCAAAGTTTTCACTTTGCAGAAACCCGGATAGGCGCGATCTCACTTCACCACTCTGTGCAAATGCATCAACAGGCAGCCCCGTGCACGACCATGTTTGAGGAGAAGGTGACTTAGGGGGTAAGGGATTATTGGCTCCACGATAAGTCTGCTCAGCTACGGGACTCTATTCTGCCGAAGGGCTCTGTTCATCTAGGAGGGCCTACCCGACTACAGAACGTGGATTTTTGTAGATGCGGTGGAGCGTTTTCCGGCCGGATCCAAGACTTTGAGAATGCCCCCCTCGGTTCACGGCGAATTTACCTCTGTGATGATCTTGCACATGCCTTGGCTGATCAAACTCTTGCTTATCTGCAGTTCTGGATTTTGGTGCCTCGGAACAATGGACAGGCGTGAATAGTCCCCCATCTTTCAACAGAGAACCAGCCATCTGTATTTGTGTGCCGATACCCTCAAAGAGCATCCAACCGCCCGCACCAAGAACGGCATCTATGCCGTATCTGTACACTTTGTTATTCCATTCTTCCTGCTCCTTTTCGCGCCGTTCTTCCTCCATCTTTCGACGCCGTTCTTTCTCCACCTTCATAAGTCGTTCTTCCTCTGCCTTCATTACCTTTTCGAAACTCGCTTCCGTAGCCTTCTTATGTTCCTGGGCTTCAGCGAGCTCACGTACGTACTCGTCGGCTTCATCCCGCAAAGCAGCCCGTATTGTATCTTCATGTGACTTCTCGATCTGGGCCAACGTTGAATTGAAGCTGTCCTGGGTTTTCTTGATTTCTAAAGACAGATCTTGGTCAACTTTTTGACCAGCTGTAGTATCAAGGATATGTTTTCCACTTCCCAGCTGACGTTGTATCTGTAACCAGCTGGGCTGAAAATTGAGTACTCGTGCGATAACATCGGAGATCGGATCAACGATGCCAGAGGAATGATTGGCTACTCCACCCAGCCGCTTTGGCCGGGAGCAACCTAGCTCAATCATGCCAGACCAGACATTCTTCGTAAGTCCTTCGTGTTTTTGTGCAAAAGAAGTGGACGCTTTATCCCACTTTGTAGTCAGAAACATCACGTTCTTCAACGACTGATCACCACAGAGGTGGTGAAACATGTCTAGATTACTGAGTGCAGTATTCATCATTCTGCGCATATTGATGTCTTGTAGAAAGAGCAGGCCACTGAGCTTGTGTCCGCCCTTGTAACTGTGAGTCCTTAAGTTAGAGCAGACCTCAATATATATGTAAGTAACAACTCACTGCGTAAACAAACTCATCGCAATTCTCTCAAGTACCTCTCCATCGCTGAGATAGGTATCGTCGAACCCAGGAGTATCAATAGAAGTAACAGTTTCTCCATTGACGATAGCCACATACTGACCCTCGCCAACATCAGCAACCTCTCTGCCACAGATTTAATTGACGAGCTAGGGGGCGTTGGTCAGTCAACGTTGTTGAACGTAGGATAGAAGGCTTCCGAACCAAACTTTTGCCAGAGCCTGTGGCACCCATTAACATGTCAATATTTTTGGCATGAATAATATGCACCATTTCGTTACTCACGCAATAAGATTTACTGAGTGTTTCCTATAGAAAACAAGTCGAATTGAATCATTTCGTTGACCTCCCTCACCCATGACGCCGAGTACAGGATGCTCTCTCTGCTCTTCATAACGATCTGGAGCCCAAGTCCGTAGTCTGGTCACAATACGATAATGAAGCTGACTTGTATTGAAAGGCTCGTCAGCCCTCTTCAATAGCTCTTCAATAAGGGCGGTGCTGAATGAATGTTCCCCTACGCCTGGTGTCTCCGTTCTTTCGGTGGAAAATGCTTCGTAGTGCTTAGCACAAATCTCTCCGTAGACAGTCTTGAGGAATTGGAAACAATCGCACACAACGAGCACCTAGCACGCAGCGTCCAAAAACTTCGCATCGCACCTTCACCGGACGCAGACGCAGAAGGGAAGCTTTGTTTAGGCGACAGTTTCGACTGGCCTCGACGATCCAATGGGGTCAAAAGATTTCCAACGGAAGGAACACAGGTCTTGCAAGAGATCATGCTGCACCGAATCCCCACTTGCAGACCCTTTGAGATTGTAGGCCGCGATGTCAAGGAGGATCCGACGTACGGTGATCTCTGCGATACGGACGTTGTCAGTATTGGTTGGATTTTGTGTCGCAGGCATGGGGTTTATAGTGAAGCTTACGAACCAAGACTCGCTTCAATTTCGGCGCTTTCGGGGTACGGTCCGAATATGGATAAGAAGACCGTTGATCCTGCTTTATTCGAGCAAGCACTTTTTAGGAAAGGGTGGGAGAGTGTGGAGAGTTGAGTCTGCAAAGAATCGACTCGTATATTTGGGGTTGAATGAAAGAGCTTGTCATGCTGGGCGCTAATGTGAAGAACCTATCCTTGGTGTTTGGGAATTTACAGATGTCTGGACTCACTCAATGAGACTGCAAAGGAAGCGAACTTGATGCTGCATTCATTGCACCTTGAAGAGGCCTGCGTTGCTCCTAGTAATCTATTCAATTTACTTCAGCATAGCCAAGATACGCTTCAAAGCTTCTCGCTGGGAGGATGCCGCAGCAAGGAGACGGGGACGTGTGGAGAGGTTTTTAGTGAGCTTGGAGCGCATTTCTTGTTCTTGCGTAACCCAGAAATCTCTATTATGTCTAGTGAACCACCCGGATCTGTTGTTGGCTAGTATTATATGGCGCTCGTTTGGTCGGATATTTTAATCGCGGAGGAGCACCTCTTTGATATAGAAAACTAATTCGAATGGGAGCGACTTCGATGCGAAGGGCCTGACCGAGCGTCACGAGGCTGGCGCTAGCACTTTTATCACTTCGAAAATTGGAGGTGTCTGTTACAGTCCTGACATTCCCGGAGCAGATTCCAGCGGCTATTACTCCGCAGACAGGGATCTCGCTCGATGGAGATCGAGGGTCTGAAAACGTAAATTGCCCACAGTTTAGCACGAGCTCAATTGGATGGTTATGCTTTAGCTGCCCCATTTGCAACGGGCGTCTCCCTCTGCCTGAGCGCTTGAGGCAAAAGCGCGACTTTTTCCTTGAACATTTTCTCTGCCCCTACCCATACAGGCGCTGTGTCCCTCTCCGGTAGCTGGAGGAGACTGGACAAAAGTGCTTCACTAAATGCTTCGGACGCCTCTCGCGGGAGTAGAGATGGGAGATGATCTGTGGAAATTGTAGAGTCAGCATAAAGATGCACACTAAGTTCCTGAAACAAATTTTCTTCGTCGAGAAATTATCGAATAGAGGTCCTTGTCGCTCAGAGGTGAACATACCTATAGAGATATAGCTCAGGGGTGGATTCAGGAAGTCCGGCAGGGTGATAGTCGGCTTGCTGAAGTAGGTGGGCTGGTTGGCAAAGGGGATAGGATTGTGAGGATTGGTAGTGTCGCAAGAAACATCACATCTAAACGGAATCAGAGCTTTAGCCGCCTATTCTGACCAAGATAAGGGGTAAGAGAGCACGGTCTCTGGGTGATTCGCTCCCAGTCCGTGGCAAGGGGTTGAGAGCTGCTCAGATTGTATAGAGCGAACAGGTACTTACACAACACTGAGATTGCGTGTTCCTTGCTTTAAAAAGTCCGTAGAAATGAAAGGAGGAAGAGGCTCGCTCAAGTAGATACAATTAATAAAGGCGTCAGCCTCCTTAATTGCATTATACGGTCCAGGCTGGGCCGTCTCGTCCTAAGTAAATTTCGGGGTCAGCATGGGAGTGAATGCTGTTGTGAGCTCCCGAAACAGAGCTTTTTGCTCTTGAATATTATCGAGTAGAGTCAAAGGTGCTCAGGACTCCACTGACCATGTCCCATTTCACAAGCTGTTGTTCCGGGATGCCAGCTTGTCGACAGCACTCTAGAGCCTAGATGGTTTTTGAATTAGTGTATTTATCCAGAATAACACGAGGTCGACTGACTCCTCTTCCGCATCTGCCCAACGCTCCGATAACAAGCACGCGCGGCGATTTCCCTTTGTTCCTTTGCACACCTTTAGAGACCTGCTCCTTAACCTCTGTGTCTAGATCGCTTTTACACTGATAATGACCCTTGCCAGGTAAAGCTTCCTTATTACCGTGCTCCAGTTGCCATGCCCAATCTAGGAGAGCCAAAGCCGCGCCCGCATAGCCGGCATGAAATCCGAACGCTGCCACTCTGAGAGATTATAGTGTATTAGCTTTGTCAGATGAGTTTACTTGAGAGCAAGCCGGATTGACCCACCGCCTGCCCTTTTCATCGGTCAGGAATTCTAGATCGTATAGAGTGCCTCCACCCCGAGGAAAGCGCCCTAGAACCTTCTCCCAGTCACCTTGGTTTTTCTGGATAGGGATTCGATCATCAGCTACCGGGATTGTTAAGCTTGCGAAGAAGCTTACGAACGTAGCAATGGCTAAAGGCGACGTGGGTATGCTAATGTTTGTTCAGATATTGGCTTCCATCAATATGCTTTGAGGCTTACCTTCAGAGGAAAAGGGTCCTTGTCCTCTAATTCTTTCAAGCCAATGATGATGTGATCTTCTGGTGCGTTTGGCCATGATCCTTCCTCCACTAATGTAGCTCCGACGGAGGCGAACTCTTTATCGTCAAAGATTCGTTCAGGACTGCGCTCGATATTGACCTTGAAACCGTTGTCGAGCAGTTTCCGGGTTACTGTTGGTGTGAGAGCACTGCGGTGCTCCAGTGGCTTGGTTTCGGATCGAAGGTGAAGGGTTACAGGAGCCATCTCAAAGTCATGGAATTGTGAATCGTGGGGAGGAATGATTCAGACAAGAAAATTCGAAATTCGAAGCCGACTTAATAGGGTTCTTGGTTAGGGTTAGGGTTAGGATTAGCGAAGCCAAGCCTAACCCTAATATCCCGACGTTTCCCAAGGTACTCAACTGGCCTTTCATGGAACACAGCGTTTCCTGCTAGTCACTCTTTTCCTCATTTTTCGCAATGGAAAACCAAGCCCAGCAATCAAAGCAAGGCGACTTGCACTGGCGCCTGAGCTCCCATCCCATAACGCTGCTTTTCTTTCTCGGATTCCGCATGTGTAGGTCCCCAGCGGAGCCCCGCCGTTCTGTCAACTGACATTGTCTCAGCATCTCTTCTAATATACCTCTTCGGTCTCTGGTTCTTCACCTCCAGCTTCGTCCTCGTGTTCATCGTTACCCTGCTCCTCCTGGCCGCGGATTTCTACTACCTCAAGAATATTGCTGGGCGAAGGCTTGTGGGGCTAAGATGGTGGAACGAAGTGGACACGACTTCGGGGGACAGCCATTGGGTGTTTGAGAGTCAGGATAGGAGTGGGGATAGCGGAGGACCGGTGCAGAATGCTACCGATAAGAGGTACGTGGAGAATATGGGAGGTGCTGAGGGAGGGGAGCAGGGAGGACAGGAGAAGGAAGAAGGGCAGAAGGGGGTTATTGCGAGTGTTGGGGGGGAAGACTTAATGGTTGAGCTGCGCTAATGCGTGGGTACGACAGGTTCTTCTGGCTAGCATTGTATGCACAGCCTGGACTCTGGGTCGGTTTGGCTATATTTGCGCTGGTGAGGCTGGAAAGCCCGATTTGGCTGAGTCTGAATGGTAAGTGCACATACTGGGGACGAACGTCAGTAATTGGTTCTTTGCTAATGGGGTTTGGCGCTGCAGCCATCGCGTTAATCCTCACGATCACGAACACCCTTGCTTTCTCGCGGTGCGATAAGTTCAGTCAGGCGTCGACTTTGGCTTCGAGCGCTATGTATTCTGGTGGGATAGCAAAAACTCTTGCAGGAGGAATGTTCAGTCGGCTGTTCGGGCGGTAAGGAAGTTTGGGTCTATAAGATACAGGGACGCAAAGGTTTCTAAGCATCCTTCATGTTCTTCTATCTTGCTGTGACGTCTATCCAGAAGATGCTTCTTAGCTATCGTACTGTGCTGTCTGCTCACCTGCCTGTTTCACTCATTGGATGCATTGAGCCAATCCGAACCGTCTCAACCGGACATCTATATGACGACAAATGTTATCATGATCGGTCTGATATACCACACAGACAGATATCAAGCTAGCAAGTGTTGGGATTACATAACGTTTTGGAGTAGTAATTTGCTCCATCGAAGCAGCATGTTTCTTTCCTAACCACGCATTCCATTCCTCGCCATGACTGCACCATGAATTGTGAGTTGACATCCTCTATCTGTCTTTCACCATCTTGTCTTCAACAATGCTCTTTATGTCTATCATTGATATGCAGTTTGATAGCGACCTCGCAAATGCCTTTAAAATGGTCGGTATCCCTCTCATGAGCTTCGCGTAGACTGTTGCAAAAATAATCCCAATCGCCTGGCTTGTTCCTCCGAATACCGCCTATCCTCCCTCCGAGTTCTCCGCCAGTCCAAGTAAAAATTGTCGTGATATCATTGACGTTTCTTGCAATCTCATCCGGAACACCTCGCTCCTCGATCAACGTAGGAAAGAGAACATGGAAGTTGCCACACTCTGTGAATGGAATGGGGACAGGACCTATTGGCGAGTCGTGGACTGTAACAAGGAACATCGTCTTCTTCTTCATGTCGTCAGTCAAAGGCTCTGTCTTGACGTCTTCAACACCGCGGGCTTTTTTAGCAGTCGACCCTTCCTCTTCCTCTGATGTGCCCAGAGGAGTGGTAGTTGTCTTTTCTCTGCGCTGCTCCTCGCCAGCAATAGAACCATCGGAGAACATTAAGATATCTTCATTAGATGGATTTAGTGTTTCTGGCGTGGAAGTTACAGGCAGTGTGAGGTCGCGAGGACGAGGAGTTTGGAAAAAGCCTAAAGCTTCGGTGCCTGAGGATGGCTCTCCTCTGCGGAACAAATGGGATGCGAAAGCTCGCTTCGAGACCTTTGTTATCCTAGTCGAAGCAATCAAGGCAGGTTCGCAAGCTGACGAAGCTCGCAGTTGCGGGAGGATTGGCTTCCGTGAAGCTGTACTGCCGTAGATACCTGTGGCATCGTCGTCCAGGATTTGAGTCTGTTGGGTCGATTCTTCGCTATCTGGAAGAAGCCGAGGACGTTCTGGGGTCTCCATTCGCTCAAACCCGTCCAACAAACTCCCCTTATCTACCTCTTCATCCTCCACTTCGAGAAGGGTTGCGCTGCGTTTGTTGGAATTTGATGGCTCGATCGCTCCAGGATTGTCGATCAAATTGACTTTGCGCCTGGTCGACGCCGCGAAGCCGACTTGTCTATTTGTACAATTTTTGGATCTTGTCGCCTAATCACCATCATGTCAGTATTCCCTTAGACAACCAAATTGTGATTAGCTTACATTGCGTATACTCATCTTATATGCTTTGTAGTTGTAGAAACCTTCCACGGCCGCAATCAGTCTGATCAGTGATTAGCACAAACATTGCCAAATCCAGCACGGTGCATAGTTACTTCGAACCTTCGCGTTGAGCGTCCCGAGGGCACAGAAAACCTTTGAGTGTGTCCGGCTCTTGAAGATGATCCCGCTTGCTATCACCCCAATAGGTAGGACCGCATTCCACCAAGAATTCTGACACGGCGATCTTGAATGCCTTTGGATCTGTGACTTTCCTAAGGAAATTGTGGCTATGAGAGTTCAATTGAGTCTCCATGTCGACGACGAAGGCGGTACGCATCTGCTCAGATGAATGTTCTGGCTTGAAGCCTATTTTATCGAAGAAGTGACGGGGGCAGTGATGTGGGACGCAAGGTTTTGGTTTGTAAGACAAGTACCACTTTTTGGGGTCTGTAGTGATCATGGCTGTTGCAAGTTCAATTTCAGGTAGTGTACAACAACGTGGAAAACTTACCTGGAGCTGTAGTTGTATACTCCAAAGTATCTTCTTTGTCGGTTGACGTCGGGTTCATATTTGATAAGTGATCTCGAGGACGAGTAAGAAGGTATTCGTGGTGTGAAGGTGAGTTGGATGATAATGACTTTAATCTCCCGAAGCACTCTCGAGCAATATCAAAAACAGTGATTACGCTCTCACAAGGGAGACGATTTGTTGTAACAACCTTAGTTGGAAAGAAGGTGGAACAGCTAGAAGGGTTCTATTGAGCTCGAGCTTTTACCGCCTTAGTGATCAAAGTGGGGCAGAGATCTCTTCGTATTAGTGGAGAGGGAGACGAATGTGAGGAGATGTATGATGTCGATATGTGAGCTAAAATAAAACATCATGTCAGCAATGTAGTGAGCTCACAAGCATATGTACAAATACAGAAATGGGAGTCAAGTCACGATAGATTGAGGTCTGTTTTGGGGGACTCACACGGTGAAGGTGAGGAGTCGTGGAATGATGTGTTGGTTGTAGCAGGCCAAGAAGGCATAAGGGAGACAAGAGAACATACAAGAAGCAGAGAGGGTCAAGCAAAGGCCCAAAGGAGTGTCGGTAGTGGTATAAGAAAGAGAAGAAGAAGTATATACCTTTCTGCGTCACTCTAGGATGCATCACTCTGCCACCACTGCGGTGCATCACTCTTGCCACTTCATTGCTATCCACGCCCTGAATCATTATGCATTAACTGGGTATACTGCACGAATGAATAACACGCTAACCACGCCTTGAAAGCTATCCAATGCTTGACTGCTATTTCACCTCGCGCCTAATGCTTCCAATGCTCCCCTCAACTCCTTTACGGCCGTGTTAGCATCCTCAAAGTTCAAAGCCGATATGGCCCATCTCGCATGCTTTTGAGCTTTGAGAATAGCCTCTTCATCGGTCAAATAATTTGCTTGACCACTGACTGGAGGAGGAGCCATTGGGAGTGGCGCCATTTGCCATGGTGGGAGAGCTTGCCTCACAGGTGCACCTGATGCAGGAAGAGGCTTAATGGGAGTCGCAGGCGCTTGTCGAGGGGCTGATGGAGGCTGTTGAGGAAAAAGTGGAGCTGAAGCAGATGGAGGGCCTGGACCATACGATGGCACAGGGGCATAAGAGGGTGGCGAAATGTTGGGTTCATCCATGTTAGGCGGAGGGAAGGAATGCAAGGAATTTGGCGGTTGTGATGGAGGGAATCCAGCAGCTGACGAAGTCGGTGGTAGTAGAGGGGAAGATTCTGGAAGTACCACTGGTGGTGAGCTCGGGTCTTCTGAAGGTGCATCAGGCGAGCTTGATGAAGGAGCTCTTCCATCGGTATCGGGCACTCTGGGAAAGTAGCCACCACCATCAGAGATGGTTCGATCAGTGGTTGACGGATCCAATGGAGATACCTCTGGAGGCGCGGCACTATGGTAATAGTTTTCTGCTGGCTGTTGAGGAGGGGGCTGATAGGCCTGAGCAGGCTGCGGCGGAACAGAAGGCGCTCTCGACGGATGCAACGACTCATCGTAAGTAGACCGTCCTGCCATGTGCCCTTGCAGTCGATCGTGCTCATCAGGAATCTCTACTACAGAGGGTTGACGAGACGCATCCTGATGCTGGCTAGAATCGCCAAGCCCATTTATCATCTGAACATCCGGGTCATTTGGATCGAGAGGCGGTTGTTCAGGTTCTGGGGTTGGATTGGATAAATTTGGGTCCTCGTTCGCTTTGATTGCTTTGGCAATACGAAGAGCATGGTACTTGGCGAATTTAATCTTTGACGCTGTCTCAGCGTCCAGAGGCCCCCATATCTGGCAAAGATCCAAGAATGTTGCAGCTGCCTGGAAAGTGTCTGCGGTCTGTCTCGACGCCTTGCTCGCTTTCATAGCGTTGTCTGCTCTCTGAAAAGTTTCTTGGCCGAATTGCTCAATGTATGCTTGACCAGCCATATCATCCATAATAGCATCGTTATCAGAGAAGTCGGATTTAGTCTGCTCGAGCTTGTCCATGAGGGTCATGGTGTAAGACATGCAGTCTGCGTCTGCCTTGTGCAGTTTCTTGGCCAGAATCTGCTCAACGATCCAATAATTGCACCAGTATGCCACCACAGGTTTGGCCTTTTCCACCTGGCCGGCCCGCTGGGCGAATCGAGCTATGTCTGCTGCCTTCAAGGCAGGTGGGATAGTTGCTGCCATCTTTCTTCTGCAGTGAGTTATGAGCTTCAGAATCTTGAGCTATGGCGCTGATCTATTAGGAAGACAAGGCTTTCAGACATAGCTGTTTACTCCGTAACGGATGCATCGCCCTTCACAAAGTATTAAAGCGTGCAGCACTGACATTGACTCGGATCGCCGATGCACGTAGATAATCCCTGCACGCACTAAGCCCCGCATCTTTATCCGCAGCTAGAGGACAGCTTGCACAATTGGATTGGCAATTTGCTAAACATATAACCAACGTTGACGACGTTACGATTTTCTCTTTACTGTCTTTCTTGTCTTCAAAATGTTGCAAAAAGCCTCTCTGGTTGCTTTCTTTATTCTCGCTCTAACGGCATCCTCTAGTGCTGAAGGTCTCTATACCAAGAACTCCGGCGTCCTTCAAGTCGATGGCTCAAGCTACAACAAGCTCGTTGCAAAGTCGAATCAAGTATCGGTAAGATCGAACCGGAGGATTGATCGAGCTGAGAGCTAACGAAGCTTTCAGATCGTAGAGTAAGCCATTCATACCCAACCCAGAAATTCTACCACTAATCCAACCAAGATTTTACGCTCCGTGGTGTGGACACTGCAGGAACCTCAAGCCAGAATATGAGAAAGCCGCGAAGGGCCTCAAAGATCTTGCCCAAGTCGTCGCAGTCAATTGTGACGATGAGGCCAATAAGGCATTCTGTGGAAGCATGGGTGTCCAAGGATTCCCCACCCTCAAGATTGTCAAGCCTTCGAAGAAACCAGGAAAGCCCATAGTGGAAGACTACCAAGGACCCAGGACGTCAAGTGGCATCGTTGATGCTGTGAAGTCTTCCATACCCAATAATGTTAAGAAGGTCACAGACAAGGGTCTGTCGGCGTTCTTGGAGAGCAACAATGACACAGCCAAGGCCATCCTTTTCAGTAATAAGGGAACAACAAGCGCTTTAACCAAGGTTTTGGCTACAGAGTATCTCGGAAGCATGAAATTCGCCCAGATCCGGGACAAAGAGACTAAAGCTGTCGAGATGTTCGGAGTCTCCGAATATCCAACGCTCATTGTGTTGCCTGGAGGAACTGAGGAGCCGGCGAAGTTCGAAGGAGCGTACAAAAAGAAGGACATGAAAGACTTCATCAGTCAGTACGCCTCTTCGGACTCGAAGGCTTCTCCAGAGAAACAGAAGCCGATGGGTAAGAAGCCTCAGAAAGCTTCCGAAGAAGAAGCAGCCGAGTCAAAAGAAGCCGCCTCATCTTTCTCCGCGGCATCATCTTCGCATGCTTCCGCCGAAGCTGCAGAAGCAGCAGCTGGAGCTACTTCAGTTACTCTTGAGGACGAAAGTAACCCTACCGAGTCTCCAGACCCAATCGCCTCTCCTGACGCACCAAAGCCAGTATTGGTTCACAATATGCCTGACCCAATTCCAGCTCTCGTCGAAGAGAAGTACCTCCAAGAGAAATGCCTTGGCCCAAAGACATCGACTTGCATACTCGCGCTGTTGCCCAACGTTGGAGACGACGAGGTCCTTCCTGAATCCGCGAGCTCGGCTCTGGCAAGCTTAGCTGAATTGGCGGACAAACACGTGAAACGGGAGAGCAAGCTGTTTCCCTTCTACTCTATTCCTTCTAGGAATACTGCATCCGCTACTATACGTGACGCGTTGAAGCTTGGAGAAGAAAAAGATTTCGAGCTTGTGGCAGTCAATGCGAGGAGGGGATGGTGGAGACGTTACCCGGGCGAGAAATTTGATTTCCATTCGGTAGAGAATTGGGTGGACAACATCAGATTTGGGGAAGGCTCAAAAGAGGTGTTGCCGGAGGCGTTGCTAAGGAAAGAAGAAGAGGAACCAGCAGCCCCGGAGCATGGCGAGTTGTAAAAATATTGAGACATAGTGAAGCACAAATTCAATTGTAAACATTCATCGTTTTAAGCCTGTTAAGGCATTGTGATCGAGAAGAATAGCCTAGCGTAAGTCTCGGCTTGGCGGACCCTTGTTGACGCCCTGGAAACAACCTCGGGGTTGTCCAAGTTTCTTTTCATTCTCCACTTTCCAATTCCATAGATCCTCGAGTAGGAACACAACAACCGCAACACTCGTAAAGCTCCCAAATCATCTCTCAGTGTAGCACTCCCTTGAAGAAAAAGCCGAAGCTCCTCGATTGCAAGGCTATCGCCACTGCTCTTCCGGAGCCCGTTTCATCAATCCAGAAGCTGGTCCCCCGAAGAGCAGCCTTCCAAGGCCAGGTTTCCCTCCGCGATTGCAAATACTATACATGCTAGCAAGGATGGGCTTCATGCTGGGAAAGAGACAAACAAACACCGACGGTTTCGTTAACAATGACAATGACGACGATGACACGTGGGGCTATTCTACTGTGAGCACCGGTAGCCACTCCTGTAAGAAATGTGTGGCTTACACTGGTACAGACAGGAGTAGCCATCAAATGGGCCGTCGTTGGCGCTCTTCTCATACTACTCGTACTATGGCTTGTCTTGGGACGCATGCACGCTCAACGAAGGATGAGGCGAGGTCAGCGTCCGTTGATATACCACAGAGTATGTCTCTACGAACCTCTCACATTCTACATGCTGAGTTTCTACAGATTCTGGTCCCCAGACCTCAAGGCGCTCGTTTCTATCCACAACCTCGGTATGCTTCCCACGGACCTGGCTGGGGCGGTGAAGGTTATCAAATGCAAGCGTATCCTCCTCCAGGTGAGATATAAAGTCTTTGATTCACAGGAATGAGGCTGACGGCATAGCCTACAACACCGATCATGTACCACCGCCAGTCTATCAACCTCCGGATGGCGGCTCGAAGACCAATCCTCATCAAGATTGGGCTGCTGTTCCACCTCCTGGTCCGCCACCTGGTCATGAAGCTGGGGAATCCTCGAGGACGGTGGAGACTGTGCCCTTGAATCAAGATGAGGCTGGGCAGGAAAATACTACTGTGCAATCACATGTCCAGACAGAGAACCCAGGGCTGATGTCGAGGTTGAACCCGTTCAAATGATTATTTCTTGCGGGGATCGTGCATCTGGGAAATGCACGACGGGGGCCCATAGTCTACTTCGCGTGTCAAGTTCTTTCGGGATAAGCAGCAGCTAAGTGAACAGCGGTATTGGCGTCGTGAGGAGTATCGGCTAAACCATCGGCCTTATGGTGGTGTTCCGGATGTGACTTGCATATATTCCTTAGCACAGTGGGCAGAGGATAGAGACATCAACAACAATCTCGCTTAAAGCTGCAATAGTCAATCTTCCACTGAGGCCATTGACAACAGCCAACCGTGACATCTGGAACATTTTTGCTCACAATCCATTTCTAACGAAACATTCCGCTACTGCCATCTTCCACGCTTGTGGACATGTCCAATATCACGAGCTTCGGATCGGAATGCCCAGCTGCGAGGACCCTCCTCCATGGCCGAAGCCCCAAACAAGATAAAACCAGAACCATGCTAATTTTTTTTTTCCCAAAAACTTCCAAAGCTGGAAGAAGTCTACACTTGTTACACAAGACTGATGAGCGTGTTGTCAGCACCTGCACATTCACAGACGCTACTTTGCTACCCTTATGTGGTCTGCATTGCTAGGCTCAAACTTGCCCGAGAATATTACAGGCTTTATCCCGAGCACCCGGGCCTAGAAAATAGACTGAGAAGGGCCTTGGGCCCAGCTTCAAAATATCAAGGGGAACACAACCTACTCAGATCGTACTCCGTGGGAAAATCCAATGAGCAGAGAGACACGGTGCCAACAGCTGTTGGGCAGGAACGGCTGGAGAACGGTTTGAGAATTGAGCTTGCAAAGGGGATGAGCAATTCTTTCTCGCGGGGGCTTTCGGTCGAGGGATCTTGGTCTTGATTCCAAAAGACTTACAAACCCATCCGTGAGTGATGTACAGCACGACGCATTTGGTATCCAATTGACAATCATTAGGCTGGTTAATTCGTCAAGACGACGCGGCCAAAGCGGCTCTTCAGGCTTTTTGCATCAAGTATCCGGACTCGATCCTTCTATGCCGCCGTATTGAACAATACATGAGTTTCGTGGAAAGCGGGGTTCGAGGGACGAACGAGTTTCAAGATATCAGCAAGGATCATCGATTGCAGGAGCTCTTCGCTTCTGTCTTCAAAGTAGTATCAAACCTGGGAGACCTTGTCTCGACGCCCGCTGATGAAGCGGTGATGCAGAGGCGTAAGCCAGGACGACCTATTGAGGGATCTGGTTCCAAATATTCGCCCATCCTTCTTTAGCTTCGCAAATGTACTGAAGGCACTGTTGACAGCGAAGCAGCGTTCATATATAATCCTTCACCGAGGTATTGTCCAAGACCTATAGCATCTGCAACCCCTTCCATGATGGTGACTCTATCTCCAACGACATGAACCAGATACTCACCCCATTCGGCCTTCTACCGGCCTTAATCCCATTTACAGAATGAAGTCAAACTCGAGCCAGAGGTGTAAGGCCGCCAGTACTGAGTATGCTCCTGTCATGTGTTTATGATCCAGACACCCGATCAGTGCTCCACTTCTTGTTACTTAATGCGTTGCCCCTACATAGGAGACCGAAGTACCTGAGAGGGAAAAGGTTTTGTTGTACCTATAATCACCTGAGCTTGCCTTAGCTGGATACGCATTGTGAATTTAGTAGATGTGAGAGGTTTCGCCTTCTACTCCGGCTTCCAGGACTGGAGCCGGCCATCAAAAATTCACTCCAGGCAAGCTGTCGAAAAAGTGGCAGTCTGAGGCGCCGAAAACCATCATTCTGATGTCGGTTTTGGGTAACAGGACGAACATGCCTCGGGAAGCGATGATACTGGTCTGGTCGAAGCATGACGATTCGTACCCGGTCCAATTGCCACTATTGCTGAGAACGGGCTTGACTTCTCCTTCTCTTGTGTGTCTAGCCAAGGTCGTAACTTGTATCAGTCTTGCTTAAAACTTGCTTTCTCGACACATTTATTCACTAATTGTTCCTTAGATATCCCTCTAATCAGCTTTTACGAAAGAAATCACAGACCACCAGCAGAACTCCCACTTTGAATAGCATATTCACGTTACCTAACCCAATACGATCGAAGGCTTGCATACCCTTTCGTCAGCTGCCCCAGTCTCTAATCAGCCATGTCCGAAGCGAGCAACACCGCTGTAGGTCTCATGTCCTTACCCCGGAAAGCCCGAGACCAAACATACGACACAATCCTCACAGGTAAATATCGAGCCGATATAGTCTTCCGGAATGGATGATGACGTGGGCGGCATTCACGCCGGTTGCAAAATGGAACCTTGTTCAAATCTCCAGCAAACGTGTCTTGGGCTAGCGCGGCATATTAGACTGCGCGTCCGCTCTTCTCGTTCGACACTGCCGAAGTCTGGTGCATCATTGTAGACCGATTCATAAAACTATATAAAATGGAAAGGAGAGCGAAACTCTCGTACGCCCATGAAAGACTGGCACTCAGGCGACCTTTTCATGGATGCAGTTGGCGCAGTGTCTGAAGCACTGAACACCTCCACACTTTGCCAATAAAATCTGCCTTCGGAAAATTTTCATTTCGAAGATCGGAGTTTGTTCTGCGAAATTGAATCACCAATTGTCCTTCCGCAATGTCACAATCCAGCTGAGGGTTATTAGGAGTAATAGCATTGATTTCGTTGCCAAATTATCCAAGATCCATAGCGTCTTCATCCTCTTCAATACCCATGACCTGATCCGCAGTAACATGTCCCATGTTGCTCAGCCCATTCGGCTTCCCATTCCTGTCACATATATCGACATGTCTTGCAGGAGCCGCCTCAGCCTCAGCACCATGCAACTGCTTCTCCCTCGCCCTCGCTCTACTCTCGATGATAGCCTTTCTGACCTTATCCTGCTCTTCAGGTACCGACAGAGACGATGGTACGCTGTACAACACCATTTCATTGCCAGTAGAAGGGTGCCCTTCTCCCAATAGCACCGACTTCGGGATCTTGCCTACCATGCCCAGCTTCTTCTCGATGTCCGGCAGAAAGACTAGCTTTTCCTCCTCTGATTCTATGTCTGCAAGCTCTTCGTCTAGGTTGTGGATATAGACCCTGTCTTTTGTATCGTCGAGTTGCATTGACTCGCTCTGGTAGTTGCCATTAGTGTGGGGTTGGCGTGCAGGTGGGTGTTGTTGGACAGGGAGGTAGAGTTTGCCATTATGCTCTGTAGATCGGATCAGCCTCCGTCCCAGAGCGTTCTGAGTCTACAGATCTGTCTTACCAAGATTGAGCAAATCGAATCTCTTAGCAAGTCGCTGCTCGTTCCCCAGGTCGTCATCGGCTTTCCGCTTCTTTACGCCCGAGGGCTTACCCCTATTGCCAATAATCCCATTTGAAGCTGACCTCGACATTGGGTACTTTAAGAGGCATATCACGCAGCAGAATAGATGATGCTGGAAGTCAAGTCCCCGGTATCGAATAGTGTCTAGAAAGCGATGGAACGGTGAAGTCCACCTTGATAGGGCTGATATTCCGACACCATGCTAAACTGAAAATCGATAGCTCCCACAAATGCTGGCGCTTCAGAACTTCGAGAGTCCCAGTTGCACAATTTCTTCGTCCAGCGACGACATTGCGAGCACTCCCTTTTCAAAATGCGTACGTAATCGGTATCCTATGCATATCATCGCTGTCTAACATGTGTGACTACAGCTCCGAAATTCGATCCCAATGAGGTGAAGGAGATGTGTGTACCGCCTTGAATCTTCATCCCCCCAATTTCGGTGCGGCAGCTTTGGGCTGACTTATATGTCTGTAGCACCTTGAGAGCGACCGGAGGTGAAGTCGGTGCTTCCTCAGCTCTTGCACCCAAGATCGGTCCGCTAGGTCTATCGCCCAAAAAGGTCGGAGAAGATATTGCCAAAGCTACTGGTGACTGGGTATGCGCGAAAGATCGCCAATGGTGCGGTCGAGGCTGCTCACACATCCATAGAAAGGTCTCCGTGTAACTGTCAAACTCACAATCCAAAACCGTCAAGCCGCCGTCTCAGTCGTCCCCTCCGCATCCTCCCTCGTCATCAGAGCTCTCAAGGAACCACCCCGAGATCGAAAGAAGGAGAAGAACATCAAGCATACCAAGTCAATACCGCTCGATGAGATCATCAGCATCGCGAGGACTATGCGGTTCAAGAGCTTAGCGAAGGAATTGTCAGGGACGGTCAAGGAGGTGCTGGGCACGGCTTTCAGTGTGGGATGTCAGGTTGATGGCAGGAGTCCGAAGGAGATTAGCGACGATATTGAGAGTGGAACTATCGAGAGTAGGTTTTTGTGTACTCGTGAAGGAGAAGATATGCTGACAGCGCAAAAGTTCCCGAGGAATGAGAATGATCATGAAAATGCATATTACGGCATTTTTTCACTCTTCATAGCTAGATGAATCAGAACAAGTCTGCGTGGACAAAGCATAGCCTGTTCCTTTGCAGGAGTTTTCGCCGTGTCGTTTCCAAGTCTGACATACTTTGCCAACACTCTGGCCCTTACCTCCTTTCCCTCTGAGGATCGGTTCAATCTATGGTTCGGGCCTATTTTGGTGCAAAGGAGATGATATCCGTCAGGAAGGTCCACTACTCACCACGACATCTTACCTTCGGGAGTGGATGTGGGGGTCCATCTTTCAGGGCCTAAATGCTTGCTTTGTTGAGCGAATTTCCTTCACTCTCGGCTCCAGTCATACTCTTACGCTCTCAAACTACGGTTGTAGGTCGTTCTTTATGCTTACTCTGTTCGGCGCGCATGAGCTGTCATTTCATCTTAGGAAGTGTTCACTGTATCAGCTCGCATTCCCAAGTTGGTTCCGCAGTGAGTGCTGGTCACGTGTTGTCTTATATTTCTATGACCACTAGTACAGCATTTACGAGAGGCATCCACACCAGCGCTCTGCCAGGTCGGCTTTTCATCCGGATCGTCATACAGGGAGAAGAGGCAGTGGATGTTTCATGGCGCTATTGCTATATTCACGAATTAGCCGGATGGGCTACAAATGTTTTGTTGTGGGAAGGCTACTGGAAAGACTTGGTACAGCCGACAAATGTGGCGGGGGCGGTTCAACGATACGTCGCTGGAGCATCTGCTGGGTATCTTTGACGCTAGGAGGAGGAGAAGTTTGTCTTGTATATAGTATTCCGTCGAGGTTGACTCCGTGGGTGCATTGGGCTTTGATAGGATAGACAGCGCATGGAAGTACGCGTGAGACCAGTATTGGTATATATTAATGGGAGCGTTCATACGATTTGAAGAGATTCAAGTTTTTCACTGTTGGTGCTGTCGGTGGTTGCGGCTCTGCATGCGGAGTTCATACCCCTGGTTGAGTATCAGCCAAATCCACTCACCCTCGTAACCTCAAATTTTTGCAGTCCATAGCCCGGAAAAGAGGTTCAATCGGTCTAGATTCGTACCAAACACCATTTGACGTGCCACTCCGTCGGTCATTGGCTCTCCGCTTGATGCGAAGTGTGGGAGTGCTGAGGAGTTGCGGACCTTTTCTGAGTCACCGTATACCACAGATACGGTACAGTACTAAGCCACCAACCTTTCTGAAGCACAAACACCTCCTTAACGCTCAGTATTCCGGGAGCGCAATTTTGGATATGGGGTCAACAACGGAAGAGTGGCCCGCTGTGCGCGTGCGAGATACCTTCATAGACTTCTTCAAGAACAATGGGCATACATTCGGTGATACCAGTGCTTGAGACAGATAGACACTGGTACTAACACAGCATACAGTACCCTCATCCTCCGTCGTACCACACTCAGATCCTACCCTCCTGTTCGCCAATGCTGGCATGAACCAGTACAAATCCATATTCCTCGGTACCGTGGACCCTTCCTCAGACTTTGCGCAGCTCAAGCGTGCCGTGAACTCCCAAAAGGTCAGCAAGAGCTCCTTCTTTGGGGGCAAAAAGCTGATAGGAACAGTGTATACGTGCGGGAGGCAAACACAATGTAAGCCTTTGCTTCATCGACGAGAGGACATGGCTTATATCTGAAGGATCTCGACGATGTGGGCAAGGACAGCTACCACCATGTGAGTCTTTCCATGACTAGATCGACACAGCGGCTTACGCTTACACTTGACATAGACCTTCTTTGAGATGCTGGGAAATTGGAGTTTCGGAGACTACTTCAAGAAAGGCGCAATTCAGTTCTCTTGGGAACTTCTCACCCAAGTATACGGAATAGAACCTGACCGCCTCTACGTGACGTATTTTGAAGGCAACGAAGCTGGAGGCCTCGAGCCAGATCTAGAAGCAAAAACAATATGGAAGTCGGTGGGAGTCGCGGAGGACCATATTTTGCCCGGAGATATGAAAGACAATTTCTGGGAGATGGGAGATCAAGGGCCTTGTGGGCCTTGTAGTGAGGTACATTATGACAGGATTGGGGGCAGGAATGCTGCCCATCTTGTCAATCAAGACGATCCTAATGTGCTGGAGATATGGAATAACGTTTTCATACAATACAATCGGGAACCAGATAAGTCGCTGCGACCACTGCCGAACAAACACGTTGACACTGGCTTGGGCTACGAACGATTGGTCTCAGTCCTGCAGAAAAAGCCTTCGAACTATGACACAGACGTTTTTACTCCGCTTTTTGCTAAGATACAAGAGATCACTGGTGCGAGAGAGTACAGGGGCAAGTTTGGAGACGATGATCCAGATGGCATCGACACAGCCTATCGAGTAGTCGCTGATCATGTTCGCACACTCACCTTTGCTATTACCGACGGAGCAGCACCTAATGCGGATGGCAGAGGTTATGTTGTCCGCAGAGTACTAAGGAGGGGTGCTCGGTATGCGAGGAAATACTTCAATTCGGAAATTGGCGAGTTTTTCTCTAAGATCGTGCCAACTCTGGTGCACCAAATGAGTGATATGTTCCCCGAGATCAAGAGAAAAGAGTCGGATGTCATCGAGATACTGAATGAAGAAGAAAAATCTTTTGCCAAGACCCTTGACCGAGGAGAGAGACAGTTTGAACACTACGCGCAGAAAGCGAAGCTGAAAGACTCGAAGAAGCTGCATGGTGCTGATGTTTGGCGATTGTACGATACATTTGGTTTTCCAGTGGATCTGACCAGACTAATGGCCGAGGAGAGAGGTCTGGAGATTGACGATACGGAGTTCGAAGACGCTCGACTGAAAGCAAAGGAGGCAAGTCGAGGAGAGAAGAAGGCTGCCTCAGATATGGTGAAGCTGGATGTTCACGACCTAGGCAAGCTGTCGAAGATGAACGATGTGTCGCCAACGGATGATAACCCAAAGTTCGGAAGAGAGAACATCACATCACAGATCAAGGCGATTTACCATGCGAAGCAGTTCCTACAATCGACAAAGGAAATACCAGGTGATGAGCAATTGGGCTTGATCGTCGACCGGACCAACTTCTATGCCGAGCAAGGTGGTCAAGAGAACGACACGGGCAAAATAATCATTGACGGTGTTGCTGAACTTGAAGTCCAGAACGTGCAGGTGTACGCTGGCTACGTGCTACATACTGGCTACTTGAAGTATGGCTCACTCTCTGTTGGGGACGAAGTGATCTGCGAATACGACGAGCTCCGAAGGTGGCCAATACGTAACAATCATACGGGCACACACATACTCAACTTTGCGCTAAGGGAAGTTCTTGGAGACGGCGTCGATCAGAAAGGTTCTCTCGTCGCTCCAGAGAAGTTGCGGTTCGACTTCTCGCATAAAGCAGGCATTTCAATCCAAGAGCTGGAGCGAATCGAAGATATTTCGACCAGGTACATTAGGCAAAATTTCCAAGTATACTCGAAAAGCGTACCTCTCGCTACCGCGAGAGAAATCGAGGGGCTCCGCGCTGTCTTCGGCGAGACATACCCGGACCCCGTTCGAGTTGTATCCGTTGGCGTCGAGGTCGAAGAGCTCCTCCAGAACGTCAAAGACCCGAAATGGAAAGAAGTGAGCGTGGAATTCTGCGGTGGAACTCATGTGCAGAAAACCAGTGATATCAAAGAGCTCGTCATCGTAGAAGAGAGCGGTATCGCCAAGGGCATACGGCGCATCGTCGCGGTGACGGGCGAAGATGCATACGCAGTGCAACGAGTCGCCATAGAATTTCAGAAGAGATTAGAAGAACTCGAACGCATGCCTCACGGCCACAAAAAGGAGCAAGAAATCAAAACCACACAATTAGACCTGGACCAGCTTTCGATATCCTGGATCACAAAGTCGAAGCTGCGGGATCAATTCGGCAAGATCCTCAAAGCGCAGCTCGAGGAACAGAAAGCCGTGCAGAAGGCCGAGTCGAAGAAAGTTCTCGATGCTGTCACCGAGTACTTCGCCCAGCACAAGGATAGCAAGCACTACATCGGCAAGGTACCGATCTCGGCCAACAACAAGGCCATCAGTGATGCAATCAAGCATGTGCAGACGAAGAACAAAGACAAGACGGTTTATCTATTTGCGGCGGATGAGGGGGAGGGGAAGGTGATCCATGGATGCCATGTTTCCGAGGTAGACCGCCCCCTCGCCGTCGACTTCGATAGCTAACGCAAGTTGTAGGAAGCGAGCAAAGCCGGCCTCTCCGCCAGCGCATGGGCCGTTCAGATCTCCAACGTTGTCGGTGGAAAGGCGGTAGGGAAGGGCTCCACATGTATAAGCAACGGGCCGCATCCGGACAAGGTGGACGACGCCGTGCAGGCGGCGACGAAGTATCTGGAGCAGTTCCATCTGTGATGGCGATGTAGTGTGAGAGGGAATCGTCGATGGCTCCGTCCTGCCATTTACACGCGGCATTACCCCCCCCCTGGGAACTACATACGTAGATCTCCCGATTCGAAAAGATGCAATATCTGACTCTTGACCATAATGATCTGATCCCATCGCCATCCTTCGAATCCGACGAGGAGACAATCGGGCTCACAACCCTGAACACTGGACCCTCGTTTCGGATCCTGAAACCAGCGAACCAGCACCCCCGTCATCCTTTTTCCGCAGGGAATTTCCCCCCCCCCCGTGGATCTGAACATCGGTTCTTTTGTACTAGTACGAGGCCCACTGAGCTTGCTGGGCTGGGGGGGGGTTTGTGATCCTTTTCCCCCCCTTTGCGGAAGTCTGTGTGAATTAGTCGTGCTCTTTCGAGGAAGCACAACGTCTGCTGGAAACGGGTGCGGATTCGCGGGATTTCGATCAAGGCAGGGATCCAGTGTGAGAATGAGGGGGTTTGGGCGCCCCAGAGTGCCAACTCTTTTTTTCGGCAGCTTGCTTGGGCCAATCACACGGTGGGTTCTGCTCGCTCGAGAGGTTTTTTTTTTTTCTTTCTTTCTTTCGAGTGCAAACAAAAGTGGAATTCTACACATCATCCGAGATTCCCAGTAGGCTGGCTATGCCAGCAGTTGAATCGGTCACCTACTTTTGAGCTTCATCCACCCACTCTTGCCCTTCCCTTTCTCCTCGCTTTCCTCTCCCTCTACGCCGCCACCTTGCCCTGCGCCACCGATTCCTATCGTTACCCCCTGGCCTGGCACAAGTACTCCGGTCTCCTCAATCCTAGGCAGTCGACTTCCGTTGCCTGCGTATTGTACCCCAACTTCCGCCTGTGCTGGCACCAAGACGCCGGTCTCCTCTATCTTGGGCATTCTGCCCACACTGCCTAAATTATGCACTGGTGCTTCAGCTTGCCCTTCCTCCTCCTCCCATTCATTGCCCTCTAGAATCTCCCACTCTGCCCCTGTTCTCTCGGCTGATAGCATAGCCTTGACCTTCTCAATTACTTTGACGGGGGATTGCAATCGCCAGTCACGCATGTATTCTGCCCCAGAGGCCGATGCGAGAAAGCCATATGCGGTGCCATGTGAGAAGTGGCCTAGAGTTGGCGCTTCTTTGGTTTTATCCGCTGCAGGTGGGCCATTTGAGGTATTGGGAATGCGGGAACTAGTGGGCATTTTCGGAAAGCTTCTGCTTGAGACTTCTCTTGGTACTGGAGGGCGCGGTGGAGGGCCGAGTATTAAGTGCCACAGATTCTTCCCCATAGCACAGACTTCTTCCCAAGAGCTACCACCAACGTTCATACCTTGCGTTTTGCAAAGCCAGGCTATGTCCCAAGCCAGGAAGGTGATACCTTCTACGAAAGATGCGTAGGCTACTTGATCATCTTTAGCGAGCGCAGACAACTTCTTGTCGAGGTGCAACGGCCTAGGCCTTGGTGGTGGGCGGTTATCTGAATGGCGAGAGGCTGAGGGACTGTTGTGTGAGGAGTGATGTGGTGTAGAGCCTGGGAACGGTACTTCGCGAGATGTGTAGGACGAGCTAGGTGAGAAGATTGTTGGGAGAGGATAGTCGCTATGAGGGAGGGTGATTTCGGCAGGGAGGCGAAGAGAGAGGTAATGTGAGACCAGGTGAGTGAGGTGGGCGAGGTTAGTGGTAGAGGTTGTAACATGGGCTGGTGCTGCATCTAAAACGGTTTAGTATATTGGCTAGAGCTATGAAGGATGTGCGTACTGTTTAAATCCCTTAAATCAGCAATGGGAACTCCTCCGATGAAGTAGACATCTCTGCCCAATCCACCCTTCTTCCGCTTCCGTTGATGCAAGCCGTAGAGCAGCGCTACTTCCCTGCAAAGGAATAGTCGAGACTCTGCCGTCTTGTTGTGCATGACATCCCATCTGTGTTCGGTGCGCTTGATGCTCTTGTCCACTGGTTCGACGGCGCTTGCTTGGCTTTGAGACAGCTCGTGCTTCGCTGAAGCGAATTCTGAACGTCGCCTCAGGAGCTTTGCTTTTCTTGCCGCAATCTCAGCTTTGACTTTCTGGGTCTCTTCACGCAGGGTTTCGACATGACTGAGAATAGTCTGGGTCTTTTCCTCCGATATGAACTGGTTGGAAGTTGCACGGTGGACGGTCCAGGTGTGGTTTACATCTGAGGGTTTGGTGCCTGCCGAAGACCTGGTCTTCTCCTTCTTTGAGGTCCCCACCACATTTTGTTCCACCTCTTTCCCTAGGGATTCCGTATGCAACAGTGTCTGGGCCAGCTGTATCCTGGGTTGATGGAGGGCATCTCGAGCGCAAAGCGTGCAGTTGAAGGGCAGTCGGCTGCTGGCGGAGCGATGACAAATCTCACACTGCATGTTCGAGATAGACTCGGACTATGATAGCTGGATCGTGTTGGTATTTGATGGAGAGCCATATTCTAATGCATAGACCACAGGTTCGTGATCAGGTGCTTAGCATGATCTCTTCTTTCTGTTTCATATCAGATTGGAAACCCCATATCGTGACATTCAAATTATGCTGTGAGTCGAAGAAGTACAATCGTTGTCGGAGGCTTCCTAAGAAATCGAACAAGAAACGTAGCTGAGTGAATTATCAAATAGGCGCCCTGGACGTTTGGTGGAGTAGCTTCAGGTAAGTACTTAAAGTAAATGCAAGGATAAATCACTGATTACGGCCTAAGGTACCTTAGCTCTATCTTATCGATAGGCTAGCAGGCTTGGCATACTTGTACTAGACACATCTTAACCGAAGCGGAAGCCTGGTGATGGGCACCATGGGCAGTAAGAACTCATATTGAGGGACAGTCATGCATTCCAAGCCTATGAAAAACTGCTACCGACACCAAACTAACGCTCAAAGTTCCCATCATCAAAAAAACCAGAGGTTCTCAGTACAGCTTGTGGGGTGTCCAAAATCCAGATAAAGCTACATCAACATCATGAACCTGAGAAACGGCAGCACACCTTTCGAGACCGGGATCTCTACTGAAGATGTGATGACTCGGCCATGAAGGGTACGTGTCTGGTATGCTTGTTGTGAAGAGCTGGTGGGGCTCAGCTTCATCCTGATCGGCCTCTTGTGCGACTGACTGCTCATGATCTGCATTTATCTCTCTTCGCTGGTAGTCACTGACATTATTTTCGGCCATAATTCCATGATTGGAATCTTCGTGAGACTCATGGAAGATTGATGGTCCAGAATCGTACGATGTCCCATGATCAATATCCCATTCACCATGCCTGATTTCTTCGTAATCTTCATTATCATTTCCCTCTTGTACCGTCTTATACAAATAAGGCCTGTGATCATCAAATCCGTCTCCTAGCTCCACAAAATGAAGCTTTTGTGCGTATTCGTCGCGTGCAGCGGTGTGGTCCGTCTCTCGCGACGAGCCTGAAAGGTTCTCTCGCAGAGCTATGTAAGGTGGTCTATTTTCTCTCGAAGTTTCTGGCCTAGGATCTGCTTGCTCCTGTTGCCTTTCGTAAAGGTTGCCGTAACCATTCCATGCACTCCTTGAGTCCACTTCACTTTCAATGGGTCGGTAGCCTGGAGCGTACCCTAAGCTTGGTCTGTTCGAAAAACTTAGGTCCCCCTTAGATAGTGTATGCGTAGAAATGGAACTGTCATGCGGGAAGTCCTGTTGAAGGCTTGCGCTGCGAGGCTTCCCAGAAAATTTTGGGGCGGACGCCGAAGCCTCGGGAGCGTAGACACTATTAACGAAGGCGCGAGCAGGCATGCGTGAATATTCCTGAATTCTATCTGGTATCCCCTCTTCCTCCCTAACATAAAGATTGCGGTGACCCGATGTGGCACGAGAGGCTAGATCGCTACCAGCAACGTTAGTATTGCAATCTGTGAGAAGTGCCTCGAGCACATCGTCGAGCGGGTCTTTATGTGGTGAGATGATTGGCATCTGGGCCGAGAAAGGGCGCACGCCATAAGCTTGTGGCTCGCGTTGAGGCTCGCGTTGAGGCTCATGTCCTGAAGACTGGCAAGTAGCTTCATTTCGAGAGAGTAATGCCGATTCAGGGCCGTCATGTGTGGCGGTTTCGGCTGGGTGAGTACTGTCTGCGATCGAGTCTTCAATTTCGTGTGGAATCTTTGCAGCATCAAGCTTGATGATTCCAGTATCGCCGTGGTTTTGACTCTTCTCCCTCAACCTAAGCCGTTCACCCGTTGCCGACCGTGATTCGCTATTCCGGCTTGGACCCTCATTTGCATTTTCGTGCGCCGAGAAAGGTATGGAGGCAGCATCTTGGGTTTTCGAAGAAGTTGTCGGTACACAAGGTGGAGATAGAGATGGTAACGAGTACTGGCCTTTATGAGGAGCTGGGGATTTACGTTTACGATTAGATAGTTTTGATGATGTTAATGGTTCAACATGATACGGCCTATTGAGCAGAGGAGAGCCGAAGGACGGCCTCACACTTTGGGACCAGGTAAGATAGCTTGTGGAACGAGTAGGAGACCACGAGTCTTCACGATGGAGGCTTCTCGAATCTGTGTTGACAGGTATTTTCGCTGGAGATATAGAGGTATTAGGGCCACAGCTTCCAAATCCTAGGAAAGGCCTATCTGGAAGATCGACAAAGGCTTGCGGTGACTCGTGGTCTCGGGATCGTCCCCTGTCTTGTTGATGTCGTTGACCGTGAGGTTTCATCACATCGAGGCTTGTAGGTTTTGCTGACATGAAGTATCTTGAAATTTCTGCTTCTGTGTCTGCTGCTTTAGTCGACTTCCGCCGCGTCTTCTTCTCCGAGGGCCTATTAGACGAGTCTTCGAACGAGTCCTTGGGCTTCTCTCGACAAGATTTGAGGAAGATCATTTCGGAGAAGGCAAGATCAGGTACTTGAAGAGCCTTTGTCAGTGCTAATCAACCGCCGATAGAGATAGGTGAACCTACAGCCCCTTCTTCTTACTGGTGAAGACGCTCTGCCTTTCCCGAACAAGCCGAGGGTCTTTGTGGGCTTCAGCTTTGGTTCAGTATTAGCAACAAACATTCATAAAACATACGACCATTGAATGCAGCTCACAGTGAGACGGTCGTGGGCCACGTTCTGCGCGGTAAAGTCATGCATCAAAGCTGCACCGGACTTTTCTTTACGCTTGTGCTTCTTCTGCTTCTTCTCCCCGCGGTCTTTCTTCGCAGCCTGCTTCGTCTTCTCGCTAGCTCTGTTATTGTCTTTGAGCTCATAGCGATCTTGGCGGGTCTTGTGTCTTGGTCTCCTTTCGTAAGATTTCGGGAGCTTCTTTGGAGACAGTAACGCTATCTCCGAACCCTGGGACGCCGTAGGTGAAACGTGCTGGCCTCTATCGTCAAGCACTGGCCCTGTACTCCGCGTACGTAGTATCGTGGCATGACGAAAACGGTCATGGTCATGTTCTGAGAGGTCATTGGCTGCTGCAGGTTCGAGGTAAGAGCTCGTGGAAGACCTGCTGCGCTTGCGCTTCCGTGGGTGACTTCGGAGGTCCGGGATATCGTCATCGCTGTGATCTTTGAAGGTACGAAAAGGTGCATGGAGTCCCAATCGCTCCGCGAGACCAAGGCCGTTCGAAATGACGGCAGTATTCTCTCTCAAGTGTAATTGGGGTTGTGCTTGGTGCGAGTTGACGAGGAGGACTTTATCTGCGACACGTGTCTGCCGGGTCCCACACTTATTGTCTTTTTGGTGCTTTTGGCCAGCTTTATCATCATGCCGATCCTTGGTTTCTGATGGATACCTCCTCGTGTGGTGCTGCCTCGAACGATGCCTCGATCCCCGCTCAATGTTTTGTTGCTCTCGAGATGCATCGGCGGGCTTTGCAGTCGACTTGCTGCCAGTAGTTTGGAGCCAATTGCGAATTGCTGCCCTTGGTGATTGTCGTTCGGCGTCGGACATATTATACCCTCACCTAGGTAGCGTTTGAAGAAAGCCCGGAAATGAAAGAGAGCGAAGAAGCTGCTGGGGTAGCCGCTTGAAGTCTAGAGGAGTTGGGGGGTCAGTTTGAGCTTGCCATCATGTGTTCATGATGATCATGCAGTGTGTAAAAGAGGTGGTATTGCAGCAGCAGACCAAGGGCAATTTTCACCTTGACTGGCAGGTGCAAGCTGGACTGAAATGGCATATCGAGAGCAGACCGAAGTCCTTTTACAGGGCGTGATCATAGATGCACCGGATGGAAAGTTGAGCGTTTTTATCACTGTCTGACCTGGCCACTTCGATTCTGAATTCAACATACACCCACAGCACTACAAGTAAGCCTGAAGATGAAGGTCAGCGCGTTGCTTTTAAGATCTAGTTTTAGTAATCTGCCATTGCAAGAATAAAGTAAGGTAAAGCTGTGTGGGAAGGAGATTGCGCATAAGCACCTTCCGTCCTTTGATATACATGAGTTGTCAAGTACATTACATTACTTACTTTCCGTACTCAGGTACTACTATTACAAAACATTTTAATTAATCTTAGAGGCTGCAGACTGCAGTAGACTGCGGATGATCAGAGGGGACAGCCGAAAGTCTTTCTTTGCCTTCTTTGCCTTTTGGTGCTTCATCTTCTTTCCTTGATTGCCTTCATCGACGGGGCCGTGCTTGGCATCGGAGATCGGAGGCTAGGCTGACGATTGGAAGGCAATACGGTACGGTAAAGTAGGTATGACTGGCAGACACAAAGCTGCCTTCCTTTAAAGCTGGCCAATGAGGCAGGCGGTAAGGGAAAAAAAAAGCTGCATCGTCGATTCAAGGTCATCTGGGCCGATGATCACTTGCCTGCAGTTCTCTATATGCACATGTACGTAGAATAGTCACACCACTGCCTTCCATCCAACCAATTACCTTTGATAGCCGCTGCTGCTTGTCCCATTGGATCTTCTCATCTCGCTGACATTACCTGAGCGCACAGTGTGAAAAAAAGTGAAAAGAAAAAAACGTGCCACGGTCCAAAAAGCGGCCAAGGGTCCAGAATTCCCAGGAGTGACTAAGGTAGCCTAGGGCTTAGCGTGTATCATAGTGGGGCACTCAGACCCAACCTACATTAACTTCAACAAACATCCCACCTTCCCTCTTTTTTTTAAAATTTTTCTTTCACAAACCAGTCCTCCAACCTCAATCTTTTCAATCCAACTGATTCCTCGTGGATCAGTATTTACTCTTTCGACCTTCTTGCTCCATCTCGTGCGACTCCCAATCCTCAAATTAGCAACGACACCCTTCAAGGACCCTGCCATGTTCGTCTGCTGCTCCTACACTGATTCCGAAATGCACAAAATTCCTTGCTCTTGCGCGTCGGTCATGTACTACATCAATGTTTCCGTGTTCAATAGACTTGTGCTTGCCTGCGTTCCATCAGCGGAGGCGTGTCTTGTGTGAGAGTCTTGAGATTGAGAATGTGTTAGCCCAACAAAAAAGAAATTGAACGAACCCTCACTCAATCATGTCGAAGCTGTTCATTGGGTCAGTCCATCACTCATATCCTTTTGTACGGCTATCAAATCTGACGCAACTGCAGTGGCCTTGCATGGCACACCGACGACACCTCTCTTCGCGCCAAGTTCGAAGAGTACGGTAAGGTCGATGAAGCGGTAGGATCTACTCCACGTGACCATTCCAAACCTCAGTCTGATAGTGGTACCACAGATTGTTGTCAAGGACCGTGAAACCGGTCGTAGCCGTGGCTTTGGCTTTGTGCGCTTCAGCCAAGATGAGGAAGCCGACACTGCAATCCAGGCGATGAACAACGTCGAGTAAGGCTTCCCCATCTCGTGCCTCGATGACGTCCTTCAGGCTAATGTAATTCAGATTCGATGGTCGTACCATCCGCGTTGACAAAGCTTCCGAGCGTGGCTCCGGTGGAGGAGGAGGAGGTGGCGGCGGCTTTGGTGGTCGTGGAGGCTACAATTCTGGAGGCGGAGGAGGTTACGGTGGAGGGGGAGGTGGATATAGTATGTGTCGGCCCTGCTTACCCATGGATTTCTGCTAACTTGTCTAGGCGGAGGTGGAGGAAGCTATGGTGGTGGACGTGAAGGTGGAGGTGGAAGTGGCTACTCCGGAGGTGGAGGTCGCGGTAGTGAGTTTATACATTTACCTTTGTCCTTTGGGTTCTCTGTATTGACGGTGCCTGTAGGCTACGGTGGTGGCCAGCACTACTCCGGTGGTGGTCAGTCTTACGGTGGCGGAGGTCGCTCTGGAGGCTACGACCAGCAGCAAGGTGGTGGTGGCAGCGCCCAGGGCGGCTGGTAGACCTACCACTGATCCCCTCACGGCCTGAATTTGCGCACGACATGTCAATGAACGAAACGACAGAATGATCAAGCAGACGGAACGACCAACAAGCAGCAGAAAGGATACGATGTGTGAAATGCTTTGGCCACTTCGGTGTCACGGGATCAGACCAACCTCAGCAAGTGAAATGGGCTGCTATCTTAGACCATCGGAGCGATCCTGGATATTTTCTCTTTTCAGACCTGGAGGTTGCCTGTTAATCGCAGCAATCTATCGCAGAGGCGCAAGCAGGCGTGGAGGAACAAAAAGGTTTCTTTGCATTCGATTTCTTACTTCACCACACTTCACTAGCACAACCAACCTTGCTTGCCACACTTCATCAGCACACCTTCATATTCTTCCCATAGAGCGAACATGGCACGGTTTTCTACTTTGATTCTTCACCTTGGCTCGAAGCTGGAAGCTAGTTACGACACTCGGGGACAAGCGGTTCAACTCCCACGTCCAAAAATTAGCAATCAAAGATAGTGCTCCTGCAAAGGCTTCTCCCAAATCATGACCTCGTAGCTAGTGTTGATGGCATTCAATCTATCTCTCCCGCTGTGATACTTTCTCAGTCTCCTCACCCGCCCGCCCACTCTCCCCACTCCTGATCCTCTCGACCTCATTTTCCACCGCCTGCGTTTTCAGCTCGCTGTCTCCGTCCTTCCCATCCCCGCTACGACCACCCTTTCCCTTCCCACCCTTCATCAAAGACCTCACCCTCTCAGCCAAATCCCTAACATGCTCATCCACGCTTCCCTCCCCCAACCCCATCAACGCAGCCTCCAGCATGAAGAGATACTCCGCGTTGGCGCCGCTCGGCCCCGCACTCCCCGCGATCACCTCCGCCACCGCCTGCGGGGACTGCCGGCCGAGGAACTGCGGGTTCGACGGCAGTCCGATGTACACGAGGCACCCCTCGACCGGCGGCGGCGGCGGCGCCGCGTCATCGGGTCCGGACGACGGCGACGGCGACGGCCAAAAGGTCGTGCGCCGCATGGAATACCCGTTGATCTCCCGCAGGTCGAGGTACGCCCGCACGGCGTCGACGTGGGGGGCCGGGATGCGGTAGCTGGCGCCGTGGACCCGGTCGGGCACCGCCGCGGCCGGTTCGGCGGCCAGGGCGTCGAAGACGGCGCGCTCGATCAGCGTGACGACGCGGCCGGGGGACGAGGGCGTGCCGCGGTGGTCTTCGCTTCAGGGGGGGTTTTTGTCAGCGGGTGGGATTGCTACTGTAGGGCGGTTGGCGGAGGGAGGGGTGGGGAAGCGGGATGCGTACCTGGCTTGCCAGAATCGACGGACGTAGCCGGTGATGGAGCCGGGGATGCGGAGGTCTGGGGTTTGGGGACCGGGTTAGTGGGGCGGACTTGTCATTCGCGTTGCGTGCGGTGATGGATGGGGGGGTTTGTTTCTTTCTTCGAGCGGGCGGGAGTTCGAACGGTGATGGGAGAATCTTCGTCAGGGGATATGTTTGGGTGCTGGAGATGCGGTCCACGCTACGAACAGGAAGCGGGCGAACACACTCCGGCTTACCGTAATGCGGAGGCGGTTTCCAGATGAGACTTCTACGGTACAGGGATCAGAGGTCAACTCACGCTGTTCTTGACGAAGCTGGGGATTCCGTCCGGGGTTGGAGCTTTCGGCCTCTGGAGGAGACTTACCCGTATCCGAAGAGCCAGAGGTCTCCGTTGGAGTTCGGTATTGCTGTCTCGGACATCTTTAGGCGGACTGTCCTTGCGTAGAGTCTTGCGGATGGAGTCCAGCTAGGTGGCCCCTGGACGATAATCGGGTAGCTTTGAAAGTTTGCTCTATTCCCTTCCATCAGGGCAGCTCTCGTGGTCAGGAAATTGGCTCAGCCCTACGGGCTTTAGCCTCAAATTTGTGAGGACCCAAGGTACCACGCGGCGCGGGTGACAGATATAACTGCACACAGCAAGAAATCCCTTCACCTTGTCAGCTGGAATAACTCAACGATTACCCTCATTATGGATTAGGTTTTGCGCAACGGTATATTAGTGTTATCGAGATCTGTGAATTACAACGCAGAACCTTTCTGCTAGGCTTCTTCGATGTGAAACCATTATCAAATTTCTCATTTCAAGGTGTGTAGGTATCTCTGTCACCCGTGTGGGTACGTTGACAACGTTTCTAGACATCAGTCCTCGTCTGCAGCGAGACAAGAGGCTCGGCTGGCAAGTCGAAGATGTAGCATCTTGCATGCCGGAAAAGGTCAACGCAAAGTATATGAGCTCGCGTTTCCCACTCCCGCACTCCTCTCTGCGCCTTTTCCTTCTGCACCGTCCGTCTGAAGCTTGCTTCTCGTTTCGTATTCTCAAGGTTCACAATCTCTCAGCATGGTGTATGAGGCTTGGATCTTCTTTGCAAAAAGGATGCTTATACACAATGTTTAGCCGGGACGGCAGCATCACGCTGCGAGGTAAGAGTATGTAGCATAAGTCATGCATAGAGGCCATCCGAACTTTAATTTTTCTAAGTCCTACAGTGGAGAAATTAATGATTCTCCGCAAAGTTCTATAGGGCTACCACTGTAGGACTTAGAAAAATTAAAGTTCGGATGGCCCTCTATGCATGACTTATGCTACATACTCTTACATGCGCTCGTACTGAGAGAGGCAGCAAGGGCCGACGGTATGAGACTCATGGTCATGGGCTTGAACAGACATAGTCCAGCCTGAATCTCGTGTTTCGTATCTATCGACTGTTACTTTTTCCGGTCTAGTACCGGCTTCTCACGAGATTGACTTGCATAGCGGGGTCTGCTGTGAGGAGGGTTTGGGCGTTGAGGATGAGTACAGAATCTCTCTTGGTCTGTGCTTGCGGAGAGGTATCAGCATCTCAATCCTCGAATCGAACATGGAGCACTCTTCCACATGCTACGACTACCTCCTCAATCTTCTTACCCAAGCACGTCTCTTCCACCAATCACCCTCAACTTTCAAGATTCTCGTCCCCCTCCACCTCCCGTCTCAACGGCGAAACGGCCCTCATCACCGGCATGAATAAACATTGCTGACTCCAAGATCTACACAGGAGGTGCTGACTAGTAGCAGTGCGTTGGCGAAGGGGTGGCCGAACCTTAGTGATTATTTGGGCAGTAAGGGGGCCGTAGATGGTAACTTTCGTGTGCAGTCAGGATGGCGAGTGGATGAATGGGCAGGTGCTTAATATGGGGGGTGGGGTTTCTTTGTGAGCGGAGTGGGTTTGGGTTGATTGGACGGATGGAGGGTCTGGAAGGTTGTGACGAGTTCTTTGATGAAGGCATTTGCAATTCCTAATGTACGTGAAAGCCATTTTGGAGAAAGTTTTCTTGAAGTCGATTGCTTGATACGTACAACGACCTTTCAATAGCCTAAGGAACGTCGGCTCTGTGAGGCTCCAGCTCATTTAACGATCCAAATTAGTGCTCCTTCTTGATAACGACAATGGAAAAGTCTGCGGAAAACCCCCTCACAGCGACATCTCACCAGCCGCAATGGCCCGCGCTATACGCTTGATTTCTGCACGGCCAGAAACGCCTCCGGTTTTCAGGCAGGGAGCCTCTGTTGCATTTCCTTCACTGGAAAAAACGATGAAGAAATACTCGAGTGCCATGGCTTCAATCGTGGTAAACATCATGCGCCGTGAGTTGTCGGGATCCCAAAAGGATATCTCGATCATGGACAATTCTTGCAGCACTCCGCCCTGCCGAGTTAGGAATTCCGCCCACTGATCCCCATTTAAGCACATATTGGTGAGGGTCAAAGCTTTCAGCTGTGGCCAGATGTGGTCCTTTCCAACCAGAGTGTCCAGATCTGTGATCTGGGTTTCGGCGGAATCGAATGCCAGGTCCAAGCTTCGAAGGCGCTCGGCCGCGCACAGCATCTTCGCTATGTTCCCGCCGGCAAGAGTGGCAGGGAAGTCTGTCCAAGGATCTTTCTCGTGCGTGTTGATCTCCATCTTGAGAGTAGTGAGATACTTGAAGGCGTTGACTGTGTGCTGTAGCTTTATGGGGTCAATGGCGCGGAGCACGGTGTGGGAGATGCCGCTGCTGTTTCTGTAGCCGTCGGCATCGATCGTGAAAGACTTGAGTTGCTCGTATTTGAGCATTGATGCCACTTGCGTCAGGATCCAGAAGCCACGGTACCATGTTGGAAGATGACTGCCTCTGGGTAATTTGTCCTGGCTGCTGGGCCATGGTCTGGGATCGAGGATCACAGCATCATAACCGAGACGGTTACCGGTATCACGTCTTCTCTGAATCATGAAAGACTTGTCCCTTGGAAAAGCACCAGCTTCGTCAGGAAGACACGTCCACCTTCTGCGCTGATCTTTTACCCATCGTTGATCGGAGATCGTGAAGCGTCGAACGTTTGGCAGAAGCGGAAGGGTTTCTAGGAGGCATCGGAGATCTGTAGCGAAATATTCGAGAAGGGAAGGGATTACGCTCATGTCTTGTATAACTTCAGACAGACCGGTCCGATCAATGCTGGCAAGCCGCTCTGATAAGTTGCCACGGCCTCTAATCCCTGGTAGGTCTATTCTTTCCATGTCCGTTCTGGTGAAATGCTGGCATTGATAGCTCAGGCTGAGTTCCCGTTGTTCGGTGTAATACTGTTGGAAAACATTGTGACCACGTTTCACTGCCGCTGCGATGTATGTCACCGGTGAGGTATTTCCGAACCGACCATGATGATAGGTTGAATTGGCGAGAGTGTTGCTCGTACCTAAGGCCTGATGTTGATTTCCAGTTAGCATGAATTTTGCAAAAAATCAAGTCTACGGCTAAGACTAGTCTGGGGTGCACAACGAGAGAAAAAGTTCGCGATTCCATAGCACAGCCTCAAGTTGTCAGACAAGTCTACCGACAAGGTCAGGGAAGATGCCCTTTTCCAGCCTGCAAAACAAGTCTCGCGAGACGGACTGAAGTCCCGAACAGGAAGAAGTCACATAAATGACATACCTTCATATAGTCGGATAGCTTGAAAAGGCTTCCACAATAGACAGTGCTGTCATACGCTATCTCCCGAACGATCAAGCGTGCAGTAGGGTGTTGCGAAATCTCTCTCAGCTTAGTCTGATCCTCCTTAGCTGGTGAGATCCAGACTTTGTCAAGGACAAACGGAGCTAAGGCATCTGCCATGAATCTGCTTGTCAAGCGTGTTGCTTTAATGGTGGCAATGTCCATGAAAGCGACAACAATGTTCAATACTTCAGCAGGGAGGTGAGGGACCGCCGTTGGGTCAAAATCAAACATAGCAACATCGTTCAGGACCACAGGCGCCATTTTTGTCCGAAGCTGTGAAGGCTTGTTAATACGTCCTCTCATGCAAGAGTTTTTGACCTGCTTACCAGCCTCTCGAATGGTCTGTCTCCCTAAAGAGAGGTTCTCATTTGGGACTTGATGATGATGTCGAGAGCTGTCCGATCACCTCAGCAAACTCTACCTCTAGAGACCAAATCGATACTGCTTACCAGGTTGTCACGCAGTCTGTCTTAGGTGAAGAGACTTCTCTGATGCAAATGTGCCTTTTCCTGCTGTACACAACAACGGCTTTACCGGAACACGGAGGTGTTGATCTTGAAGACAGCCATCACTTCCAAAACCCTTGGAGCTTCGTAGGGCGTAGCGTCTCGGGCGGCTAGCGGCTAATTATAAGCAAAGCATTCACCATTGAGGACAAGGAGAAGATCCTTACACCCTAAGACTTGGGTAGAAACATCCCTGAGAAACAGTCCTCACGATTATATATATTTTTAGGACAAGTACTTTAGCTCCGAAGATTGAGATAATATTGGGTTTGCGATGCAGTATTGCACAACACATCATCAAGATCGAGGTGAGGTGTGAGATCATTGGGAAGGGCTCTTCGCCCCTCCACAGAATTACAGCTAAGCCAGTACAATGCAGCATTTACACATCTTACAATTTGCTGGAAGAGTACTCCTGTGTAGTCGTTAGGTTTTGTGGGCAGCAGACACCTGGTTGCCTGACGAGCAAGGCTTGGTGCAGACTCAGGAGCACTGTGCGCGTAGACGAAGGCTCGCGGTAGTTCTTACAAAGGGAGACAACAACATATATACCTAGAGAATGCTACTGTATCACTCATGCCTCTTGTGGCAGTATCTTCCGCAATTTTTTGTGTGGTAGGGTTGAGAATGCGGTTTTTATAGAGACGCGTCCCGATCGGGACTACTCGTAGCAGCCTTCTATCGCGCGCCTAAGGATTATAAGAGCAGCAAAAGTCATGCACAGAGAGAATGTCTTTTGCGCATCTTTTTGTGGATATCGATCAAAACAAATCGACTCTTCCTATCAAGGATCTTCAACAGGAATAGATTTTTGGGGAATGTTTACGAAAAATGTCACTTTCTGCTGGCACTGCGCCTGACTTGTACAAATACTACCATTTCTCCCTTGCAAACAAAATGACGGGTTCTGAAAAAAGTTCGAGAAAATCGCCACTATTTCCTGGCAACTGTAGGATCTCTACAATTCCATTAAGAGCTTTCACCCTCTATGCATGACTTTTGCTTCATTCTCTTACACCGCGATATGACTCTGCCTGCTGTCTTTGCCTATAGCATTAGCCTGTAATGGTATTGCGCGATAATAACCTTTGAACCCTACCCATTGGGCACTGCTGACACTGTAAGGAGTGCAAATCTTGCTTTCATGATGGTAGCCATGACGCAACGACGGGATCTTTCGGGCTTGACTACTCATAGACGTCGCTATCCTCCACTTCCGCTTTTCGCAAATCTCCAGACGAACACTCGAATCCATCTCCAGAATGTCTCGATACTCTCCAATTGCGCCATCCTCCCTCACTGCCGACCAGCATAAAGCTTACGACGAAGCGTCGGAGATTTGTTCGAGCGTATTCGGCGACAAATTCCTCTACAAAAATGAAGATGGTGCCTTTATAGGTCCATTTGCTCCTCTGCTCTTCACACCCACCCTCGTCGATCCATTCTTCAAGCTCGTCGTTGAGCTAGGGAAGCTCCCAGGTCTGGCGGGTTCAGCACGAGAAGTCGCCATTTTAGCGACGGGAAGCAGATTCCAATCCAAGTACGAACTGTATGCACATGAACGGGTTGCCGCCTTTACAAGCCTCACGGCGGCTCAGATCGGAAGTGTGAAGAGTGGGAAGAAGCCTTTTGGAGACAATGCTCTTGATGAGCAAGGAAACGTTGCCTTTGACGTGGCTATAGAGCTTTCACATAAGCAGGGTCCGATGACCGAAGCTAATTGGAAGCGGGCAGAGCACGCTTTTGGGAAGGAAGGTACGGCAGCGCTGATACAATATGTTGGTGTGTACGCTTACACTTGCATTCTACTGAACGGGGTGGATGCACCAGTGCCCCAAGGAGAGAGATGCTAGAAATTATATGACATGTGCTCCTTGTTTACAAAATGCATTTTTCCCTCTTCATCGACCTGGTTCGTGGTCCTTCTCCACTGTCACAAATATGGATTTGCGACTTGCGCTTCAAGGTGAAGTAATTAGGACGTGCGTAAGGCTGATCATTCACGAACCCCACCATCCTGTCTAAGACATTTTCGGCTTTTCCTTTTGGCCCAAAGCTGACCAGCCGCCTGAGAGTCAAGAACTGGTAAAAGAAAGGTCTCGAGATTGGCATGCCTACGTCGAGCAAAGATCTTTGGGCAGCCGCCCTAGAGAAGTTGACCAAAAGCGATCGCCAACAGCTCGCTTTCTATGATGGCCAAGATAGGCTGGACATCCTTTCAGACCTCCAGGTGCTCACAGAGAGCGCCAAAGAGCAATGCATCAACAAAAGATGGCAGTTCAGTAGGCGTAGTCGTAATGGTGAGAACATAGTTTTGCGGGATATTTTCAACAAGATGGTTATCTGGATCAACATGTCCAAACAGATTGGAGATACTGTCGTGCAATATGACCCTGGACATGCTGCGCTTCCTTGGGCGGGGGTTCGCTTCATCTTACAGGTTGCTGTTGGTGACATTGTCAAGTTTGACTTTGTCGTCGAAGGCGCGGAATCAATCTCACGAATGATAGGGCGATATGCGATCTTTGAGGACACCTATTTACGTCGTACATCAAAGGCTTCAATAGAGCTTGAAATGCGCTCGTTCGGTTGTACTCGACGATACTTTTGTATCAACGGAAAGCTAGAAGCTTCTTCGATCAGAGCTCGCCGAAACGCATATTCAGGAGTGTCTTCGTCACGGAAGACGAATTTGCAAGTATTGCCAGAAAAATGGACCTTGAGCAGTCCAACGTGGATCGTTGGGCTGCTATCTTGGATGGAGAAAATCAAAACAATTTCAGCAACTCTCTCGAGGCACTCTCAGTCGGTCATTCCGAGAGGCATGCAGAGCTTATGGAGCTCGTCCGTACCATCGATGGACCCATAATTCGAATGAGTAGCCAGCTCAATGGCGTCGAAGACCATTTGGACAACTCTAAGCGCTACGAGATCTTGCGGTGAATTTCCTCACAGCCTTACCTGGAACATCATGAGCAGATTTCGAAGAATATTCTTGCTGGTACAGGCAAATGGCTGCTCGAGGATCCAATATACGCAGAATGGCACAAAGGAAGCACATCGTCTCTCCTTTGACTTCACGGGAAAGCCGGCGCCGGAAAAAGCACACTCGTGTCTATTGTAATCGAAGACGCAGTGAGAAGGTTCGAGGCTGGAAACAGCCCACCCCCAGTCTACTTCTATTGCTCCCGAAATGCCGCTGAACCCGAACGATACGATCCAGCTGCCATAATTTCCAGCGTCGTCAGACAACTTTCGTGCGCAGAGCCTGGACTTCCGCTTTTGCCTCCAGTCATCGAGAAGTACGAGAGGAAAGGTCAAGGATTCAGCTCTCGGGGTCTTCAAATAGAAGAGAGCTGTGAACTCATTACCAATTTGGTAAAACTTTATTCCATGACAACCATTGTCATCGACGCTCTCGACGAATGTGATCCCGAAAAGCGGGAGATGCTCCTAGACGGGATCGAAAGTCTGCTGCAGAACTCTTCGCTTGGGCTAGTGAAAGTGTTTCTATCGAGTCGTGACGACCAAGATATCGTATGCACGCTTCGGGACTATCCACATCTTGATCTTGTTTCCAGCAGAAACTCAGGGGATATCGAGGTCTTTGTCAGGGAAGAAACCGACAAACTAATCAAAAAGCGACGTTTGTTGCGCAACAGCCACGCCAAGGAGGCACTGAAAGTTTTGATTATTGATGCAGTTAGTAGAGGCGCTGATGGCATGTTCAGATGGGCGAGTCTGCAATTGGAAATGCTTTGCACCATGAAACTAGATCAAGATGTCCGAGCAAGATTGGGGCGACTACCACCCAAACTGGAGCAACTTTACCTGGAGGCCTACGAGAATAATCTGCTGAAGTACCCAGGCGAGGTCGGCCAGTCTATCATCAGCAACATAATGAAATGGTTGCTCTGTGCGCAAAGGCAAATGAAATCCTCGGAATTTTGCACTGCTGTAGCAATGTATACTGTTCCCACTGAAGAGCTTACAAAGGAACATGTCCTCGACCTTTGTCATAACTTCGTTGGGTCGACAACGGTTTTTGGATGTATTTAGGTTTGCTCATCTTTCGGTGCGAGAGTTCCTCGAGAAGCGAGCTGAGTATATGGCAAATTCGTGTCATCTCCTTGCAGCCGAGACCTGCTTGTTACAATTCATCGGTTCATCAAACTGGTCAGTTGCAGAGGCTTTCTTGCAACATCATTACGCCCTTGATCTTCGTGGGAAGTTGCATCTACCGCGGAATTGTTGGGAGGTTTTCATAATGATGCTACGATTTTCTGGGCCAGACATTGCCAGTTGATCGGAGAAGAAAGGAGGAAAAGCAATTCTTGTTTCGAGGGAGCCTTTCGCTTTTTCCTCTCTGATGCATCTGATGATCTCTCGCCGTTGGACGTATGGATGCTATCTAACTAGCGCAGGATACAGGACGGTAATCTTCGGTTTTATCTAGATCCCAGATTCGATTGTAAGCCCGAAGACAGGGTTTATTATGTTGCATGTGCTTACGGATTTTGCGAGATTCTTCGCACGCGTTTGCAAGGGCAACCCCCGAAAAACAGGGAGAAAGGCTGGCGTCTAGCGGCTGGATATAACCAAGGCGAGGCGCTTAAGCTACTTCTGAGCAACCGTAGTGAGGATGAAATTTCTTGATATCTGGTGGCTCTAGTGGCACTGAAAATGGACCCGGACACCCTGGACTGGGTACTCCGCGAGAGCAAAATTAAAAAGTCACAACATTGGTCGACGAGTTGGTCAATTACTGGGAAGAAGGGAAGGAGATAGTGGAAAGATTGATGGCAAGGTATAAAGCTTCAGAGGTGTCACAAACCCTTCTCGAGTATGCCGCAAAATTCTGTTCCGGAAGCAGATTTGATTCATTACTGCCTCAAACTGACGATGCCGGAATCTCTTGGGACCTGATCCTTGAGCAGGCCGGGCACGAGGGCAATATGGAGGTCATGATACGGCTTTTAGATAAAAAAGATCTCCAAATTACCCCCGCGAGCAATCGCAATATCGGGCGACGAAAAGGACATGCAATTGCTGCATGGTCGAGATGAATAACAAGTGAGATCTTTAACGCTGGTGTTTTGAACCAGAATGAGAAGATTTTGGGTTTGTTGCTTGATCGGGGTGGTTCCGGTAGGATATCGACAGAAGCCATCAACAGAGCGATAGGGAACTGCAATGAAAGGGTTTTGGGCTTGCTGCTGGATAACGGGTACCAGATGTCGCAGACCCTTGTGAATAAAGCAGCTGCCAACGGCACCGCGTCAACTTTGCGGCTGCTATTCGATCGAGGTGGTGTAACTACCGGCCCGGTGTTGAGGTGCGCTGCAGGGAACAATCCTGAAGGAGCAAAGATGATGAGCTTGCTCTTAGCCGAGGCCGAAAACTGGATGATCATGGGAGAAATGACAGAAATGATGAAAATCGCTGCACAGTCCGCGTTTGAGGGACCGAGTATCATGAAGCGGTTGCTAGAACATGCAGTGGATCTTCTGATCACAGAAGACGTTCTCGTGACCGCAGCAAGAATAGGCCCTAGGAACGAATTGTTCGAGTTGTTCTCGGGAAGAGATTGGGAAATGACAGAGGAAGTGCTGGAGGCAATGATGAGCCACCTGGCATCGGAGAAGACGTTGCAGCTCCTACTGGACCGACTCGAAGGTTTGGAGATCACAGGGAAAGTTCTGCTGGCAGCGGCTAGCAACCGTTCATTTGGCGACCAATTAGTGGGACTGCTATTGGACAGGGTGAACCTTCTCGACATTGTGAACCCTCTCCTAGTAGAAGCTGCAGGAAATGACACATTCGGCCTAGAGTTGATTCTGCTGTTACAGCGTCGAGTTGGCAAGGTCGACGTCACTCAGGAGGTTATGGAGAGAGCTGCTCGGAAAGGACCGATGCGGACGATGACCTTCATTTCAGATCATACGTCTGCGCCAATTACACAAGCCGTCGTAGTGGGGGCATTGATGAGCGACCGCCTAGAGATGGTGCAGTTCTTGCTGGACAGAGCGATCGACCTCCCTGTCACGAGAACAATGGTCCACGCGGCAGCTCAACACAGTCGTGCCGAGTGCTTGGCTCTCATTTGGGAAAGAGCCTGGAGAGCCGAGGTGACTGAAGATATCTTCAAAGACTTGGCTCAAGCAGCGGCAGAGAATGTGGTGTGGCCTGGGAAGAATTTGAGGTTCCTCCTCGATGTAGTGGAGGATATTGTCATTGGTCCAGAGGCCCTAATAAGTATAATAAGGACAGACTTTGACTCAGTGCCGTTACTCGACTTCTTGATCGATCGCGGCATCGATTTACAAATTACACACGACGTGCTACAAGCAGCAGCAGGGAATTTCAGGTACCACAGGTCTTTGATGACATTTTTACTGGAGCGGAGCGATAAGGCCATGTTAAATGACAAGCTTTTCAGGGCGGCGGCCGGTTCTGGACGTGTGTGGGTCCTCCAAGTGCTTTCGTGAAACTGTGGTTTGGCAGAGGTACCAAAGAAGTGGCTCGACCTTGCCCGGCTCCATGACACGGTAGACTCCCTATCCCAGCGGCTCATTAGATTCTTATGTCAGGCTCACGAGATTCACCGACCTCAAAATCGATCTGGTCAAGGAACTTTTAGCCCGGGGAGTCGAGCCGGACGTCCCAGATGGTAGTGGAAATGGATATGAAGGATTGATTGATTAGGTAGCTATGAGAGTGCTGAGTGGGCTACTTATACCCCCTATTTGCCACCTGCGGGGTAGCTACAACACAGGTGCTGCAGCAAATCTCAACAGATGGTAGAGGCCAGACTCCGCTCATGCATGCAGCGGTATTGGGCAACATTTTGACAGTTCAAGCACTGCTGTCTGCCGATGCAAGTCCCAGTTCAAAGGACAGACAAGGAAGAACGCCATTGTTCTTTGCTGCCTTTGGTGGGCACTACGGCATCGTGGAGATCTTGTTGGATCTGGGGGTTTCAATTGATCTCGGAGACACAATGGGCGACACCCCGGCGTCGATGGCTAAACGGCGTGGACATATGAGAGTGTTCAGACTGCTGGAACGGAGGAGACAGATATAGTGGTCACAGCTTTCAATGAATCCCACTGGAAGACGAGTTTTCCTAGGAAATCTCTGACGACTCGCGCCTCTAACATTTGTGCTATTTCGTCAACGCATCACTCGAAAGCTCCTGCCGGCCATGCAAGGTGTCAGGAAAGTGGCAGTCGGAGTCCTCAAGTATCGACAAGAGCAGCATCGGCGAGGGTGTTTTCACCATTGTTTAAACCACTTCCTTCATGTACGACAGATCTGTCCGGGTTGATGCCCCGAATCGATGTCAAAACAAGCAGGCGGGTTTCAGCGCCCCCAGCTTTCACTTCTCCTTGGTTAGCATCTCGGAAATATCTGTCGTTAATGATTGGGGCTCGCTCCATTAAGCATTGAATTGCGAAGAAACCTCCTTATTGATGCCCATCTTGTCGAAAACCCAAGGATTTATGATATACCGCTTTGACACCTCGCCTGCTGAATTTCCCTGTTAGGCTGATTTTGGGTAACATCCCGGAACACCTGTCGTTTATGATTGAATTCAATTCATATCGAGCATGAAATTGCAACGGAACCTCTTCATTAAGCCTTAAGTAGTCGATATTCAAGGATCCGTACAGCTCGAACTGCTACTTTCTTGGCCCCTCACCTCTGCAAAAACCGCACTGCATTCAGTGATGCATGAGCAGTGGCGGTAAAAAGAAAATCGTCACCATGATTAAATGTTCCATACATCCAAGGGCGGTCCTCACTGGCCAATAAACTCAAACCACAGCACCAGGCTTCCACGCCTGCCCAACAACAATCGCTTGCATGGCACCCATACCCCCCACCGACGTCCTGCCCCCCAACGGCGGCAACGGGCTCTGCCCAAGACACTTCCTCAAAACCCCTCTGGGGGCCTCCAACGTGTCACTGATGTCCCGCCACCTCAATCTCTCCGTCTCAAACTCGTCCATGATGTCGATGATGATCTTGCAGGTCCGGAACGATTTCGCGTAAGGAAGGCGCACCTCGGCGTCCGGCCTGCGGCTGAAGGTGTAGGGCGTCGTGGCTGCTTTGTCCGCGGGCAGCAATGTGACGGCGACGAGGCAGTCGGGGTAGTTGGTTTCGAGGAGGGTGGGGGCGCCGGCGTGGTGCGGTTGGATGAAGCAGTTGGTGCTTGCCGTGAGGCTGGTGTTGGTGAGATTGAGCGATGAGACGGTTGGATCGAGGGAAGTGGTGGCGAGGATTTGGGGGTTGAGGAGCTGGAGCGGAGTCGAGGCGGCTAGTATGGCGAGGGACAGGCAGGAGAGGATGGCGGCGAAGGTCATGGCGTCTGTGGGGCATCAAAGCTGAGTCCGAGGAGCATGACGCTGAGCTGTGCAGGAGCGTGAGCATTGTTAGTGGAGATTTGCGTCTGCAGTGCCGGTACGGCTTTGCTCTCGTAACGCTGCGCTTGCTGGTTTCAACTTCCTTCTACCCGACTTTGCGCCTCGGTACGCACGTTGCGCATTCGTTCCAGTGTGAGTGTAGAGGTCTGGAGCAATTAGCCGCAGGGATCCTCCATTCAGACAGTAAGTTCTTTGTGTGCAGCACCGCACTCAGGATAAAGTGGTGTCGCAGTGATGCATGTCTCGGATTAGATTCTATCGAACGTTAGTGTTCAGCCTGAATCGTCTCATGCTAAACCAAAAGCTGGTGTCATACATGCAAAATATTCATCTTCCAGCGCCCTACTTGATGATGAAGTAAAGTTCCGCATGCTGTATCCCCCGAGGCTGTAAATTCTGTGTCATTAGGTTGCAAGCATTCTTGCGCCAGCAATGCATGTCCCAACTCTCTCCATGAGAACTCATTCTGTACCCACGCCCAATCGACGGCCTTGGCTTCAGGTTCCTTGTTTCGCAGAAACCGCCGAAAAGCTGTCCGCCGCACGATGCATCTCCTTGATCACGTCGGCAATATCTGACCCGCCTGGCTTTCCTGAAGCTGGAATTTTGACACGATTCGTGTTCTCGCACGATATGAGAGAGAGATAGATCGAGCGCTTGCTCTCATCCTCCATATACCATAATGGGCCAATTCGAAGATTTCTACGAGGCCGAACAGCGAATTGAATGTTTGAGATTTCTGGGCCTCTGCTTGAAGTCCGGCGGATACGTTCTCTCCTATCAGCAATCATGTGCATCATCATCTTTTTACAACGCATAGTACTGATCTCAGCCTAAAGCAATTGATCACGGATGGGTAAAGAGCTCCGCCAGCCCAGAAATGCTGGTGGTGCCTTCGCAGAATTTTCCTGTACAAGATGTAAGCTCTGACGATTCTGATTCCTTTGATTGACCCATATTCGTGCCAAAGGATCTCGACAAGGAGGTTCAGCTTACGTTCTTTCAAATCTAATGATCTGCCGGGCTTGTGATTGAGTTGCTTCACATCGAGATCCATCGACCGTCTTCAAAACACTTTGTGCCCGAGAGCTTCAATTGACCAAAAGGTTCAATCGAGAGTAGGATCCTCGACAGAAAGCGCTACTAACACATTCAAAGCAGCAGTAATGGTAGACTGGTTTTGGCATAAGGCTCGCACGTATCTTCGATGGCGTTAAATGCTCAACCATGCTCTGCGAAAAGAATATATGTAAGGCATGTATGGGACGGACTAATGGTGACTGTTATTCTGAAACACCGCCCATAGAGCAATTGGTGCCGTTTTCTGTTGCTTCGTGCGAGGTTTGGGGATGAGTAGAGAGTTAGAAAGGGGTATCATTAACTGGCTGGGCTCTATGCCGCTTTTCCAAGCCACCAAAATTCGTCTAAAGAAAAGACGACCGTCCCAGCGCCTGGCTTAATATACTGAACATTACCTCCGGCCGGCCTATTAGCTCAGCGTTGACGCAATATTTCTATCCTCAAGTGTCAGCGGGTAGTCCGCAAAGACCATAACATTTTCCCACGTTCTGCGAAGCGCAGTTACATACCGGTTAGAAATTCCTCAAAACTCAACGTGATATACCCGTCTCTATCATCATCGTAACGCTTGAACACGTCCGTCATCCTCTTCAGTATTATGCAACTCTGCACAAACAAATCGAAGCTCATGCGATCTTCACCGCTTCTGGCATACGTCGTGTACAGTAGATTGACAAAGGCGGAAGAAAGCCTGTAGCCAAAGGCAACCAGCGCTTTCGAGTACTCATCGAAAGATATGTAGCCGCTATCGTCCTCATCAAAGCGATCGAAAAGGGCGCGCCACGCAGCGAGGAAACCCCAGAGGCCGCTGCCGACATATCAGCTCTGCCCAATAGGATAACCATAAAGGAGCCAAATGTACCAGAACTCCTCAAAACTTATACTGCCATCCTTATCCGCATCAAACATCCGTATCATCATCTTAACCGTATGCGGATCAAAACTCGTAAAATCCCCATTGACCAGAGCCTTCCCCAGCTCCCTTTCCGTCAACTGACCTACCCCCGCGGTATCGACTGCCTTGAAAAGCGGAAAAAGCGACGCGTCGGCGCTGCTACCGCCAGGGGCGGGGGTTCCAGGCGGTCGAGACGGAGGTGGTGGACGTCCATGGTGAGATTGTGGAGGAGGACCGAAGCCGTAATTTTGGGGTGGGGGGGATGCTGCGGCGTTTTGGTTGAATTGGGTGTTGTTGTAGGAATTGTTCGGGGAGAGGCGGGGCGGAGGTTGTGTTTGTAGTTGCTGGGCTGGTTTGGGAAGTGGTGGAGGAGGTTTGCTTTGGTATTGTGGTTGCGATTGAGGAAGGTTGTAGGGTTGGGGATTGGAATTTGAGTAGGGGCGTGGTGGTGGTGGATGCAAAGGGTTTGATTGCTTGCGTTGTTGTTGGGAGGAAAGGATTTGGGCTGCCTGTGTCAATGGGGCTTGGGTCAGCCTCGGCACGAGGAGCTGGGGTGAGCGGTATATACCTGTTCTGGCTCTGCGTGTCTGATGTAAGTTTTAGTACTGGACATGACCAGGTAGAGACTCTACTACTCACGCAGGAAGCGCATCTGGATTGTAGCCGCTGTTGTAGGCCATTGTAAGAAATCTTGTTCTTTTAGCCAGCCTCAATTAGGGTCTATATCATTTTCATTGAAGTAAAAGTATTTATTCAGAAAGTTCTTAAGAAAGAGAAATCGCGGCCTTCCATTGCGCCTTTGTGGCGCAGTTTTCTACGTTCTGCAACGAAAACATTTCGTCTTCCATCGACATATCCTCACACATGACATAGCTGATTTTGAGTCATCATCTTTACATATTCATGCTGAAAGATTACAATGCATGGTGAGCTGAGAAGAATTACTGATCTTGGCAGGATTACATTTGCACTTTTGGGTATTTATGAACAATTCATCGAGCGCCCAACTTTTCCATTCCGCAGCATCATGCCGATATCATTTCCATACCCAAATCGCTAAACGTGACAATCAAAGGCATCCCAGATA